TCAATTCAAAACCAAAAAGATGGAATGGATCCCGAAACAGGCCTTGACCATGGCTCAGTCTGTGAACCATGCAGGTGTTGCAATGATACAGGTTGAATGGCAAGACATGCCCCTGGTGCCATCCCGTGAAACGTTTGCTGCCCTTTTTGGCGAGGGCAACGTATGGGGAAGGTACTTGAGACTTGAGACGCCCCCGCATTTTGCTTTCGAAACCCTCAGACCCTCATGTGTCAAGTCGTTTCAGTGATACATGGACCCCTGCCTGCCGCGATGCTCCACTTATGTTTCCTCGAAATCAGGACCCCTTTTTGGATGATCTTTGAAGAAAACCCAACACCAGCAGATCATCGGGGTCCATATAGCACTCACACACAGTGTTTTCTGTTCTGAAATGGGTCACCAAGAAGGGGTACCTTTGAGGTAGAAACAGAAACGGCTATGAGTCTTACGGGGAAGTACCTCACAAGTGGCTCGTGGACCGTTTTGATGCCCGCAGGGTCCAATTGCGTCCAGGGACCGTGTGGCCTGGCGCTCCAACCGCTTCCGTCTTCAGCTCCGGGAGGTCTACAGGCGCTTTTCTTTTTGGTGGGTTTTCAACGGGTCGAGGTCTGAACGTCCTGTGAACCAACGGGGGCGAATGGGGGGGCCAGGGGGAGGGAGGGGGAGGGGGGGGGAAGAGGGGAAGTGCTGGGTTTTTCCGGACTTGGCGTTGCATGAGGTGCCCGGGTTCCCGGTTGTCGTCATCGCGAAGCTAGCATAGCTTCAGGGCACTGATTCGATGGCCTTCAGCTTCCCGCCCTTCCCGCCCTTGGAATCGCTTAAGCCGCTTAATTATGTTGGCTTGTACTTGGCGGAATTTCGCAAGCCCACTGTTCGCTGAAGTCTGATCCCAGCATCCTGCTGGTAGATTGTGACACTGACAGCCACTGGCCGAGACATCCAAGCCTGTAGGGAGTCATTTGGAGAAGAACATGCTTCGCTGATTCTCCTGTTTGTGGTGGGGTTCCCAATTGTTGCTTTGTTTTGTCCGGCCACTCGTTGTGTGTGCACCACGCCGGGAATCTGTGGGCAAACCGCGGTTTGCAAGTCCCAGGTCTACTTTGTAACTTAAAGGCGAAGCTGGAGAGGCTAAGGGCGCTAGCACCATGGCACCCCTGTTCAATGCCTCTCATGAATTTGTAGCAAGCGTTGGCTTAAGTGGCCATCTTTGATTGTAATTTCATCTGGCTGTGGGTCAAAATTAGACTACCAGGGGACCACTGGTGTCAGTCCATGTTTCTATTTACCAGGGCGACCCATTTTGGGTACCCATTTTTTGGCCCACAGCCATCTCGGAAACAAATGCCCCTGTTCAATGCCTCTCATGAGTTTGTAGGAGCAAGTGTTGGCATGTGGCCATCTTTGATTGGTGCATCTCTCAATCAATGTTTCCCGACTTTCTGGCTCCTGGAGGGCATCCTCTACGGTTCCTCAGGCACCCGCCCCGTCTCCCACCTTTTACGAAGCAGGCGCTTCGTCCTGGAGGAAATCTTGCCCAGCCTGGCGGCAACAGGCGATTCGGTCGCCGAGTTTCCAGTGGTCAAAACGCGTCCAAAGGCCGTTTCTGGTGGCTCTGCTTGGCGTGTTGGGGGAAAAAAGGGGTCTAAGCCTAGTAACCATCTTGGTAGAACCAGGAAAAAACGGGTTTTGGCGCTCGGTTGTTCACCGCTCCGAACCAGCCAACAATACGGCGCCTGCCCCAATGCCGAAAGTAGCGCACCGCTCTGACTCGCCAGTCAAAGGACTGTGCTTGCGGCGAAAATTTGGCTTCGGCGAGCCGAATATATGTACAATAAAAGGGCTGAACGGCACGGCAGCAAAGGTTACCAAGTGGCACAGGTTTTACAGGTGTGTGTTATCGCTTTTGGAAGTGGCTTCACTCTTTGGCGGCTAGGGCTGGCATGCAGGCCCCGACAGTAACTTCCAGGACAGTTTCCAATACCCCCAAACCACTACCCTAAGCCACTCCTTCAGAGGAACCTGGATTATATACCCTTTGTATAGTGGCTATTGATATGGCGGTTATATAGATGTTTTGTATATAATTTTCTTCCCCATGATGAACGCTTTGGGGGTGGCAGCATATTGGAATCTGCTTGCCCAAACTGTGTTTGGCTGCACTGTCGATCTGTGCCAGGCGATTCCGACGCCGCGGTGCAGTTCGAGCCTGTGCTGCGGGTGGTCATGCCCGGCCACGCAGCCACTAAGCGCCACCGGGACGGGGCTCCAACGGGATGGACCAACAGGGTTCCCTAACCTGTTTGATAGTCATGAGCATTACCTTTCGACCGGGAACCCTAATAAGCAATGAACCAATGCACCAACAGACCAATAGACCAAACCAGAGCCCTTTCGGGGTGATGGAGAAGAACATTGATTTCAACATAGTTGTTTTGTGTTTCCTTTGATGGGAGCCTTTGATCTAGGTGAGCGAGCCATTAGTCCATGCCTTTGCTCTAGTGACCAGCATTATTTGTTTGGAGTCCCAGCAAAGGAAATTGTTTCCATATCCTGGAATCTGGGGATGCTCCTTGCAAGCACCTCATATACTTTGAAGCAGCAAACCAATCCTCAAGTCTTGGTTCGCGCATTCTGTCAACATCATTCCGGGGGAAAAAACAAAAAGCACAAGTTCCGCGTTGTCCTTTTCAGCCTCGCGCAGGACGCGGACTATGGGCACATCCCAGAAGAGCTCAACTTTTGGCCGCTCGGAACAGACAGATTCACACGCATAGCACCTGGACATGTCAGGGTTCCAATACAGGCTCATACTTTTGACCTGATCGCTTGCACAAGTGGATTGCATTCTTGGCGCAAGTGGCCTGACCAACTCATCCATTAGCCCAAGGGACCTCGCTGTTACTCAAGCATATTTCCCATGGCCGTCCGTCACTTGGTGAAACACGCAAGGGTTGGCCTGGGTTGATGAGTTGCAAAACTTGTTTGGAAATAATAGCTAACACAAGCGTTTTGCCCTCAGCCCCTGCAGGAACACTGCAGCTTGGCACTTCCAAAACTTTGTGGCCGCTGCTTTGAGTTGAATTCAAAGGCTTGAAACAGGCATGCGGCATGCAACTAAGCCAGTGGGAATAACGACACCAGGTGACGACACGTCGTGTTTTTTGTTGCACCTTGCCAATTCAGACCAGTGGGCAACGCCTGTGCCATGCTGCAGGGCCTGTGCATTGTTGTGGATGATGCGCAGTGATTTGATGTGAGCAGCAGCCAATATTGCTGGCTTTTTATTTTCTTCTCAGTATCCGTGCGCCACGTGTGGCAAACAGCATGAAGAGCATTACATCATTACTTGGCGGCAAACTGCCAGTAGCCATGGCAGCTTCCCGAGGTGTTCTGTCCTTCTTGGTACTTTGTGTGTTTGGCTATGCGGCCAAAAACATTGCACCATTGAATGGCTGAAGCTGTGGCTGACATGCCGGGCACTATTGAAGCCACTGTCAAGAAACTGTTGGAATCGTCGCCTTTGCAAGGCTGCCTCTTACTTCTGTGGCGGGAAGCAACAGCTTGTACCTGGAGTCCTTCCCAGGCAAAGCGACCGACGCAAGTCTGAACAAACAAATGCGAGTGAATTTCAGACAGCTTCTGTGACCCCTGGCTTGGGCCTCCGCTTCCACGTATTTCCTATGCCTGATATGGTGCCTGTACTTCTGCATGGTCGATCGCGCTCGGGGGGCCGGAGAGTTTTATATAGTTGGTCCAGAAGCCAAGTGCATAGCACCTGGATACCAGTTTCAGGTGTTTCAAGCAGGGGTAGCTCCTTTTGCGTTCTTGGTGTTGTGGGCCAGCGATCCAAATCACAGTCCAGTTGTTTGCCGAATTTGTATGAAAAGGGAGGAGCTTAGCATCCAAGAGGCCACTGGCTTTGTTGTAATCAGCAGGTTTACATAAACTGTGTTGCTCCTACATTGCAACAACTAGCGGGTGTTCATCAAGGAAAAGCACCACCTAAAGGCACCTGGATTGCATTAAGCGAAGCACAAGCAGCACGTAGAAGTACAACGAAGACTAGTCGAATGTTTCGGCTGCTGGATTGGGCAGCTGTATGAGAGAATACTATGTCTGGGGGCGCATTGTCTGGGGGCGCATGGCAACTTTGACCTGGGAGTAAGATGACCCCGCCTATGGATTTATTTGGATTGTCCTTTCCCTGGATGTGTTGTGCTGCCTGATCGTACGCCAGCTTTCATGCACCAGGCTCTGGCAGTATGTGCTTCCTGTCAGTTTGAGATCAGATAGAAAGAGGAGCCTCGCTTTTGCCTTGCTATGTTCGGGACTTCAAGCCGGTCTGGCCAATTCGTCCATGGCATTGCAGGAGTCGGGTTGCCCATTTCCAGATGTCAAAGAACGTGTCCCGTTGCTCGCCTTGAGCAAGTTTTGAGGAGTTCTGCTCCAGGCCGTGGTGACTTTCATGCCTTTGAGGGTACCAACGGCGACGGCTTCAGCACCTCGGAAATTGGGAAAATTCCCATGCCTTTGGCCTGTCAATTGTTTCCATATGCAGCACTCTGCAAACGAGTGTGCAGTACCAGCTACACGCTTGAAGACGCCAAGCCCGCCTTTAGCCCTGATTCTGCAGGGGAGGGGCTCCTTGCTTTGAGATAAGGCAGCGTTTGCTCTGAAAAGATAGCGCCTTCTACGACTTGTGCCTTCTGACGCTGGTCAAGCTCTTCCACCAGCCCTGCCTGACACAAACGCGTCAATCTGCCATGTCGCATCTCAGGATGGTGGGGCAATCTATGCGAGCACTATGCGGAGCCCAACCAGACCAGCTGCACACGTGTGAGCTGCTCAGACTGCAGGTAAGGCATGGTAAGGCTGTATCATGTTGATTTGCCGTCCCAAAGCATGCGCACCACTCACTTCCGACACTCACCTTTTGGCTTAAAGGCTTAAAGTGAGCCTCCTTTCGGTGCGACCTGGGATGATGTTTGAAGAGGAAAGAAAGGGAACACTGTGTCATGATATTTTGGACGTTGAGTGAGACCTGCAGTTTTCCAAAGGCTTTGCTGGCCAATGTTTGAACCAACGTACCCGAGGCTTGTCTTGCTCAGCTCAGCCGAGAAGTCGCTGAGTTATACCGAGTAAAAAGCGGGACCCTGCACCACACTGAACCGACACGGAAGGGTCCGCTCAACATATCCAGTGGTCTATGATTCATTTGAGAGGGACGTCGGGGGACTCACTGAATTCCCCACAAAAAGCCAGGGGACACTCATTTCCCCGTCTCCCTTGCGGGAACTACGTGGCTCATATTGTCTTCCGGTACACTGCAGCCCAATTGCTTTTGTACTACAGAAAATGGTACGATTGGAGCCAGCTTCTTCATTCTTTGCAACAAAGCTGATCAGCCCCTCGGATGCTGAAAGGTTTTTCTGGAACCCCCAAAACCACCTTTTCTGCCGCTTTGGTGAAATGCTATGACTCCGCCAGAAAAAGATAAACAAACGATATACATGACATTTACAACGGATATTCCTTCTGGCTCTCGGTTTCGAGTGGGCTCTCATCGGTTTTGGAGGTTGGGACTCGGCTTGGGGGCTCTTGGTGAATTTTCTTCATTCCATGAAGTTTCTTAATTCATGTTTATCTGCTGAAGATATTGCGAAAATCGGTTTTGGGTAGTCCTCAATGCTATTGCCATTCTATGAAGTGATTTGAGCCATGACTCCATGGCTCATGGCCTCATGGCCTCATGGCCTATGGGTTTCGGGTAGACTCCAGAACTCGGTTGCTTTCTGCTCCCCTGCTAAAAGTTTAACTTTAGTGGTTTAATGGGGAAAACCCATTCGTTGGCAAAAAGTTAAAGTCCATCCAAGTGGCGGGCGTTTTTCGATTTCTCCAAGGCCTGGACTTTCGGCTCATCCCGGGCCGCTTTTGGGCCGCCGCTTTGCGAGCCGGCTCCGTGCAGCAGGCAAGCGAAAAATGAGCCCAGGCTGTGTCTTGGAAGCCCACTGTTGGGGTGATTCCAAGCGGAAACTAAAGGGACAACTCTCGAACTTTCGGGGGGGTTCACCAAGTTTAAGACACCAGCTCAGTGGCAGCAGTTAAAAAAGTGACGCACTCGGGGGCGGTCTTGAGTCTAAAGTTTTCACCACTTGGAACCGCGAACCAATTGTCACTTGCACCTGCCCAACTCGAGGAGCTTCTAGGTGTTGGCTCGAGGTGCACACGTTCCCACAGATCTCCAAGGGTCCATGCTGTTCTCCCCGAGGCGTTTCCCATGTTTTCCTTGTTCTTCTTGCTCTTGCCACGCGCAACGCTTTCATTCCTCAAAGACAGAGAAGCTCAAGTAGGGTGAGTAGTTGTTCCGCTCAACTTTTTATTCAACATGTGATCGTGGTGTGAATCCCCCCAGAAGAAAAGCCTAGAAGGAAGTGTCTTTCATAGCCGGCCGTTTGATCCATGGCTTACTGCTATATCACTCATTTGGGGATTTGGTTTGGGTCTTCAAAGCACAAAGACTTGTACTCGAACAGCAAACGTGAACATGTTGCATTGGTGCTTCACTGCGACTGGCCTCAATGCAATGGCGGACGGAAAAGGTATGAAACACCCAGTTGACGGATCTCGAGTTTCAAGCTATGTCGTAGCCTGTCTTGTTCGCTCAAATCGAGCGCGCAGGCGGAGAGCCGCCGCAGCCGGCACCATGGCGGCAGCATGGCCATCGGCTCATACTACACCTGGCTGAGCCTCTCATAGCCGAGATGGGCTGTTTGCAGGGCCGGTTGCAGGCTGCCAGCTACGATACTCAGCTGGACGATAGCCCTGGAGATGGGCGGTTGGTGGTTTGGAGGTGTGCTCCAGAGCCGGTTCTGGGCCAGCTATACGTGCTGAAGCTGGACGAGCCCCTCGTCTTGGCGACTCGCAACGTGCTCAGCCGGTGAAGCTGGTCCTCTCCGATGCCCGGTGAAGCGGGGCGCGGGGGTTCCGCGTGCCGGCGCTCAACTGCCCAACGTGAACAGAGCCTGCCGCGCCTGCCGGTCAGCCTGAGAAATGTGGTGAGAAAAAGCTGACCTTCGAGCCGCATGAGTGACGAAGGGACGAAGGGATCAGAACATCACCAAGCAACCGGTATGATAGGGCATGTCTTGTTTGGGCAATGCAGACTGCAGACTGCAGGACCGTTTCATAGTGCTTATTTTGGAAACCTCTTTCCGATGACATGTTGGCAAGCTGAAAGAATCTCCAAGGCCCTTTTGGCTAGACCTGAATGCAGGACGCAGATCCCCATTCAGAAAATCAAAGGATCCGTTGCCTTTCTCCTTTCGGCACACGTGCAAAAAAGGCTGCGCATGTTTGTGCTTCCTTTTGCAAGGCGTCACAGGCAAATTTGAATCGCGTTGCTCAAGGCACTGAGCCCTGATTGGCTCAGAGCCTCCTAAATACTCAAAATGGCAGCAGTGGATACACCGACACCTGGCCAAATCCTACAAACATCTGCTGGGTCCCTAACCTTGACACACATCTAGCGCTATGTTTGCTAGCCCAACGACAGTCCCGAAGATTTGCTGGAGCCTCTAGACTTCAAAGGATTTCAGGAGGTCTGGTGGTGTTTTGAGCTGACTTCCGGGACGATTGCTGTTGGTGCACGAAAGTGTACACATTAGCATAGACAACCCTCAAGCTTAAGCAGATTGGCGCAAGGGATTGAAGTTCTGCCAGCCATGCGCGGTCAGCTGCTTCATGCCCTAGGCTGGATGAGAGTGGAGTCTTGAACTGTTCGTGCATGCTGGACCTCTCTGAGTTGACTGCTTTTGAGCGAAAGAAAGAGATACCCTAACAGACATTGCTTAGCCACCCGCACTGCTTTGCCATACGGGCAGTTGCCCGCCACGTTGGCGGATGTTTACAATTGGTTGTCTTCACAGCCGCGAGTTCCACATATTAGAGCATTTGCAGGCAAGTATCTTTCGAAGTGTCTTAGTCTGCTTGCTTCGCTGCAGTTCTCAGCTTAAGCAGAAAGGATAATTTCGAATGCCAGTCACATGAGACCCTGTTCCACAGCAGAGGGGCCATTTTGAATCATTTGCAGGGCTTTGTCTGGTTTGGGGTCCTCTGTTCGACGGTTGTGCGCACGGGGGGTTGAAGGTCTGAAAGGCAAGCTGGAATGTCCCAACCTCGGCTTCCAGCCCAAAAAGTCCCTTGAAATCAGATCCACAACGGGGATCTACAACTCTCCAGCGTCCTATGATCATCTTCCCATCCACTGAATCTCTGTGAGTGGGACAACCAGCTGTTTGGATCCTGCGGGATTCCCTGGTGGAGTTGTGACTCCGATGGCACATGGTTCTATTGTGGACAAAAGCACCAGTTGGGCTGGATGATGAAGCCATACAAATACTGGGGCAAAGCGTGCAATTGTCCATCCCTCACTTCTCAAGTTCTTGGACTTTGCACGTTTTTGGGACCAAACAGTTCGGAGGCAGTCTACGCAGGGAGATCCAACGGTACTCCTAGGCGCAAGGGGCCGCAGCAGCCGCCGCGGCTCGCCATGGGCGCCAAAGGTCCTGGCGGCAGTTGGTCTCAGCGGCAGCTTCGATGCAGTTTCTCCGCTGTTGGGGGATCTCCAGTTCCCCCATTTGGCTGTGGGTCAAAACCAATGGTACCATTTTGGTGTAGGTGCACCACCCATTTTAGAACCTATTTTAGTGGGGATTGGAATGTTCACCGGGTTTGACCCATGGCCATTTGGGTGGGGGGGCGTCTCCTCCAAAAACAAGCTTCTATTTTTGGGTAGGCTGCCGGTGGAACAGAGAGCCCCAAATATGTGGGCCACGGGGGTCTCGTTTTTGGAGGATACCCTGGGTGCCCAGGCTGGGTGGCTGGTTTGGTGGTTGGCTGGCTGGTTGGTTGGTTAGTTGACTGCATGCCGAGCATCACCAGCCTCGCTCGGACTTAGGGCTCTTTATTGGCTCTGATTCTAATGAGGGTGGGTTTTGGGCTGGTTTGGGTTCATTTAGTCTGGGCAAAGGGCTGAAAATCCAGGCTTCTGCTGGTGGGTTTAGGATTGACTTTGGGTCGGTTTCGGTTGGCTTGCAGATAGCGTGCTAGGTGTGCGGCTTCTGGGTTTGTGGGTTTTGGGCTTTTCAGATAGCCTAAAACAAACCCTGAAAGCAAGCCCCGAGCAACTCTCAACTGCCACCATTCAGAGCCAAGCAGCCCTACGTCCGATTGAGGCTGGTGCTTGTGCCACACCAACCCCGACCCCCAACATGGGGTGGCCTTGGATTGAGCCGGGGCTAGTAACAAGCCGGGCGAGTAAACCAAAGGAGGCACCTAAACCCCTGGGAGATGAAGTCGGGAAGTCTCCTTAAAACCGCTGGTGGACATAAACTCCAGCGTTTGGATAATTGCGCTATGACTTTCCCTATTCGCGACCGAAGGCCAAAAATTGCCTAAGGCACGCACGAATCGTGGGGTCAGCATCGGCCATGTGTCACTATCAGGTCTCCTTACACTGATATGCTTGGCGTTTTGCAGAGGCTGCCGACTTGTTTTAGCACATCTAGCCTGCTCAGTCCACTGACCAAACGAGCAGTTTGAAAACGCCCTGAGCCCACCTGACCACTGACCGCCCCCAGAAAACGAGTTTGCCAACTCAGAACTTCAACTTCGGACCCTTGGGGCCCGGAACCGAACAAGTTCTGCAGCGTGTACCGTGGAAAAGAGTTTCTATCGATGGATATGCTGCGTGGCTGAGTTGACTGCAACGAATTGCTTGCAGCCTTTGCTTTTTGGGCACTGACGTTCCGGTCGTTTGTCTTTCTGAGTTGCAGTGTATCTAAGACCTACCATTTTCCAACAATCATGGGAGGGTGGAAGTAGACAGCATTCCCCAAAGGGAAAATCGTCTTCCAAGCACCTAACAGCTTCCGCGATTGTAGTACCCATTTCGCATGTTCCTCGGTGGGCGCGACACCCGGCGCCGGCTGACCTGTCGTGAGGCAGCGGGTTGGCAGCCGTGACGTTGGCGAAGATGAGCGAGGAGCGGCCCAAGCGTTTGGAGGAAATGAGCATGGGTCAAAATACAACCACCAGGGGACCGCAGGGTTTAGTCTTTGGTTCCATTTACCATGGTTCCATTTTGGGTACGCATTTTTGACCCATAGCCAAATGTTCACTGCTTGGGGGTTTGACGTGGTTAGCCATTTGATATGGTTCATTGGGGGACTTCGCTGCTTGTTTGCTGACAGTTCGCCATTTGATGCGATGGGTGTGCCGTTTTCCGTCGAATCAAATAATTACGCCGGCTACGACATGTTTATGATGTTTCCCATGCCACCGAGCGAGGCACCAGGGAACTCAAATGCTGCCGTGCGCCGCGTGTTGTCTAGGAAGTGACACGCAGTCTTCTGGCCAAGTTATTCCAGTGATGGAAACAACCAATGCGCGCCCAGGATGGCTGAAGCTTTGAGAGTCTTTCAAGTTTAGAGGTCTGTCGGCTTGTTGATAAACAGCAATACGCAGGAGGTGACAGTTAGAGCGGGACGTCTAGTGCCTAGGCAGTGGACATGTGAGATACCTTGAGCTACGGGCTGAATGAGGACCTTAGGAGATGCTTGTTTCGGTGAGCTGTGCCATGCATCAACACTTGTGTTTGTACGAACTGGCAGAAATGCCTTGTTGTCAATCCATTCTGCTTCTGGGGGAATTGATAGCATAGTTGCCGAATTTCCAGGATGTTCCAGGTGAAAATTCAAAACACGCACGGGCGAATTGTTGTGTCAAGTAAGTGACTTGCAAGCGCAGACCGGTAAAATCAGCAGTCGCCTACAACATGTTTCGGTGGACTCGCATGAAGTTCGCGTCATCCTTCGGCCCAAAGTGGAAGTGATGTGTTGTTGCCTCTCCTTCTTTATCTGACTGTGACAAAGTGGTCGCAAAATCCATGACTAAAGCTAGGGAAAGTTTGTGATTGGTGTGCGTGCCAGTGCTACTGCCATCCTTTGGTGGTCACGACGTATAATCACAACAGTTTCTTCGCGCAAACTAAACTATGAGAGCTCCGACCCCTCAACGGGATATGATGCCAAGCTCCTAGTCCAAACAATACCCGGCATCAAGGGTCGCGGCGCGAAAGGCGTCCGTGAATTTGTCGTTTGAACTGCGCGAGGATCCATAAAGATTTCCTTCCCTTCCTTTCCCACTCTTTTTGTTACTGATGAGCGTACTAGCAGGGGGCAATAGGAGGCTTAGCTGCCGACAGCGGCTTTTTATTTCTGGTCCCTGTTGTTGTTTTTGTGCAGGACGAGAGCGAGAAAATCTGGATCAGCCGGCGTGGGCCTTTTGCCTGGGACGCCCAGCGAGCTGTGGAATGGGTGCCATTGGTACCTTGCAACGTGGCAATCAAGCGAGCGCAGTGATTGGCGCATTTTCCGGCATCCATGGGACAGCCAGCCTTTGCGGCTCGTGCCTAGTTGAACGAGGCCAGGAGAGGACCAGCTCACGGGGTGAGTGCTTTCGTTTGTCGCAGCTCCGCTTCGAATTGAAGCAGCTCGCTTCCCCCATGTCTATTCAGAATTCAACCAATTATGTCCCTGCCTGATATCAAGCTGCCAGCATCGTGTGGTGCTGTCCGTCGCTGCACATTTGACGTACACACTGCATGCCGCACAACTGACGTCGTGAGCAAGTGCAGAACATGCATCGCCCTTGTTTCCGCACCAGAATTGCTACGTGTGCTCAGCAACAACACTTGAAAGTGAGTATCATGGCACGGTATCAGTTCTTGTCTATGCCTATATCAAGGTGTGCTGTCGTGCATGTTGGTCCAAATTCATGCATAGCCTGCTCCCAGGGCATTTTGTATAACTGTTTGTCCCATTCACAAGGCGCTACGCGGGCGGAAACGGTAGCTTGTTGACAGGCCTAGTCTTAGTCCAGGTTCCTCAGCTTTCTCTCTGGAGCCAAGGCATTGGCTCCGGACTGGTGGCTGCTTTGATCACATACCTCATGCCAAGACATTTGTCCAAGATCCGCTTGCCCATCAGCGTCCACGAGCTGACCGCCCTACCGCTGTCAATCCTTTTAGCCTTCCGCCGCTCTTCCAGACGGGGTCAACCAAAAGGGGAATAGGTCCCCCAGTAGTGCCTTCTTGCCCTTTGTTGGGGGAGGGTCCCCCTACTCAAATAGACTGCAGAAAAGAAAGTTGGTGCCCTTATTCTAACCTCTCTGGAGGACCTAGTAATGCTTATGGTTTTGCTCGTGGCCTGCAGCGACGTGGTTATGTCTAGATGTGTTTGCCCTGTATGCTGCCAAGCACTACATGTTTTTTTTTGCCGGCGTTCGATATATGCAGCTGCTTTATGTAGTTTTTGTGTTTCCCCTAACTGCCTATGACTAGGCATTTGCGTGTTTGGCATATTTGTCACAACCCGGGAGCTTAGTATCTAATTAATTTTAATCGCTTCTGCTTTTGGAGACCAAAGAGCCGACTATGGCATCCAAAGCGGGGGCCCACTGGTTGCCTTGTAGATTTGTAGAATCTCCAATGGTTTTGCTTGCTGAATTTGACAAGGGCGATACGGGCAATCGATCAAAGGAGCTGTTGCGCACACAAGCCTGGAGTGTGACGACATTCAGCCAATCCAGAACCAAATCACTTGTTGTGTTGCACGTTGTTTGGCTTTTTGACCTGAACCTTGTCAAAGTAGCAATGATCGGTAGGAATTCCTACAACCTACTTGAGGCGTGTAAGGTCGCTTTTTCATGTCAAACCATTCTGTTTGCTTTCGGGGGGATGGGCGTGATGCCGACACAAGAAGTCAACCGCAGTCTAAAGAAGCAGGGGGCACGGTTGCGCCCAGTTTGGTTGAGACATGTATTTTCCTGACTTCAGTCTTACTTACCAGTCTCATCTACCCGATGCCAATCGCTAAAACACCGACCACTGTTTACCTGAGGAGCTTCATCATCTAAATTGGTTCCTTGCCACGATTTTCACGGGGGTTCCACCCTCGGCCCTACCTATTTGGGTGTGGGTCAATATCAAACCACCAGGGGACCGCAGATTTTAGTCCATGTTTCCATTTACCGATCGGGCAACCCATTTTTGGGGTTACCCTATTTTTTGACCCACAGCCATTTTGCCGGCAAAGGCCGCCCTCCCGGGCGCCGTCTCTGAGGTTTTCAGCTCTCCTACGAGAGGTGGTGGGCCTCGCGACAGCAGCTCCAAGACGTGAGCGCCAATGCGGTCGCCCTGGCCATGTGCGCCGCCAACAACCAGGAGGCCGCTCTCCCGGAAAACCGGGCAATCCTTAGGAGGGCCAATGCTGGTTACATGAAGCCGTTGTTTTAATGGTGGTTTAAACCCCGGGGTGTGTGTGGCATCAAATCGTACAGGGGTGTACGAATTTTGGAGTTGGTTGTTTTTTGCCTTTTGGCCTAGCAGTTGGTGAGCCCGCGCTTGGATGATATTTAGGGGGAGAACCTAGCAAACCCTGACCAGGTCCAAGATTGGACCTCGGAGCAACGGGCCAAGGTTCGCCAGGATTTTGTAACGGATACGCCTTAAATGCAATCTTGATCAGCCGCCCGAACCTCCATTGCCCATTGCGATATATATATATATAGCAATGAAACACAGTAGCAATAGTAAAAGCATGCAATAATAGTAATAACAATAAGAATAAGAACAATAGTAATAGACTAATTGTAAACGCTTCGTTACCCGCCTCGGCCAGTCCGCTTTTGGCTGGCGTTGAGGTATATACCGTGCTTTAGTTTGCCTTGAAGTCTGTTTATTAGAGTGGGTGAGTCGGCGCCGAAATGCATGAGCTGGTTTCCAAGGTAGAGGGTGGGTGCATGTCCACGTGTTTCCACATGGCTTCAACCGCGGAGAGCTTCAGAATAGCAGTGGGCCTGGGCCAAGGTGCAAATTTCTAGGGAACTTGAATGGTTTCTCGGGGGACATTTTGCCGGTTTCTGGGGGGATTTTACTGGAGTTGGACCTGTTTTTAGAGGGGATGTAACAGATGGGGATTGGAGGATGAGAGGGGTTTGCTTCCGCAAAGCCAACAGGTTTCGTAGCGCCTGTGCGCTCAAACTAGCCTTGAACATGAATATTGCCCCCAATTTCCGGCGCGATTCCCCGAACGCTGGGGCTTCGATCGAGTGAGGTGATCGCGCTGGACTCCAACCCCACCAAGCCCTGCAAAGCGGAGATCGAGCTTAATGAACGCCGGCTCCTGGGCTTGTTGGACACCGTCTGTGCCATCATCGACCCTTGGTCAGCAAGGTCTCACTTAAAACAAGACGTCGATTTGCTTGAGAAGAGTTTGGGATTTTGTTTCCCCTGTCGATTTTCTAGGATTTTTTCCTACCGGCAATATGTGTGCGTGTTTTTGTTCTCAGGGACTTAAGCAAATGGAGGAGCATGACGCCCCACCCGTCCGGAACCAAAGCTTACCCGGAACCGCTTCAGCCATCACAAGCCTTGGGCAAAAACCTGCAAGGTGGCAGCTGAGCAACTGAACATAGTGACCCTCCGAAAAGAAACCTGGTGGGGTATCAAACTTGAAACTTGTGGGTGATTCTCTGCAGCTTTGAGCTTTTACGCAAGATCATTCCAGATTCTTGTGTTTTTCCTTGTGGTGGTGTCTCTCTAGGGGTTGCGAATTAGGATGAGGGAGAGCTCCGCAGATGCTTCTTTATCGGAGGAAGGCCATCCGCACAATGATAAAAACACTGATACACTGCAGGTCTGGCCAGGATTGGTTCATTTGGGAAAGCGCGGTCAAGTGGTTGCAGAGAGCAAGGCCAAAGGCGGAAGCAGATGGTTTTGGCTGGCTGCTTGCTTGGCCGAGTTGTCAAGGAAATGGAACGTGCCAATATGGCAGTGGCCAAACCAGAAGTGAGAGGTGAGAATCCCAACTGGATTTTCCCTGCACGGATGAACAAACAAATCCTGCAAAATCCGCGATTCTACTGTGAGGAATGGGAAAGCTTTTCAATTGAAGCATCAAGCAAAACACAATCTCCTGAGCATGGGTACTAGATGCAATCGCTTCAAGCTCAAGTCAACCCCGGCTGGCACCCATAGACAGACGCAGAACGCCAGCGGGCGTATTCTGCCATTTTAACTGGCACTGCCATGATCAAAGATCAACTCGAGCCCACTATAAGAATCCAGAAGAGACAGCGCAATTGCACTGGCTGTGTGGTGTACTTGAATACCAAACTCATTTTATGATCATACAATCACATGGTTTATCCCTTATACTAGCCCCCAGCGTGTGTCATCATCTCAGTCTGACTGATCCGCACAACTTGTTGTCACATGGCCTGAGGAGTGGAAGTTGTCGAATGGACAACCACCACACCCTTCCAATGATGTCACCGTGGCCTGACTTCAATAAATGTGTGACTGCCCTTCTAGGCATGATGGGAGCTGGGGTTGTAGGCCCACTTTCTGTGCTACCAATGGGATCTGCTTGAAAGTGGTAGCTTGGTCATGGGAATCAACCAATTTAGTATCAGAGAAGGGGTTATTTTCCCCAAACATGCCATGTTTGTGTTTTCTCCTCGCATGTTGGTTCTGAACATGGGTATTTGTGCATTTGCAGCTATAGATATCGATATAGTTTGACTTGCGTTCAGCCTGTCTTGATCATGCTTGGCATTGCAAATGTCACGTTGAGTTTATTCGTGCTCGGGGTCAATTTTCGGGCCTGAAGCCAACACCGTTTGATCTCGAACTTGGTTTCCAGGTCAAATTCAGCGAGCAGTTTAGAGATACAAGCTGCAAGTCAGCAACAAGGCACAGCCAAGCAAAGCCTTGCAAAGCCATAAGCCAGAAAACACCTCACGGATGCCCATGCTTTCCGCCTGCTTTGAAATCCCAGCTACGAGCCAACCTTGCGATAGAGCCATTCAGGGGCGTCAGTCCCATGTCAAAGACTGGCGCAACCTCATTGGCTCGTTGATATGAAGGTAGCCACTAGGTCCCCCAGCTAGGTGCCAACGTATACCGTTTCGTTTTTGGGGGGAGGGTTCCTCTACTAAAATAGACTACAGAATAAAAGGGTGCCCTTTTTCTAACCTCTCTACTGGAGGACCTAGGCCAGTGTTCAGATCACGGTCCGAATCTGGTTGCAAAACCTATCTTTTGGGTCCAGTCGGATTGGCCACATACCACTGGTGAGATCTTCAGGCACATGCAACCGTAGGCCAAGTCTTTCATCTCAGGCTTTGGGCTGGCATTCGACCGGAGAACACGGGTTTTTGGTTGACAGGTTGGTGAGCCGCGCCCAAAACGCCCATCAGCCATTCTTTAGTAGGTGCTTGTACTACCTGCCTTCTTGGGGTTTATAGTAGGGATTATACAAGGCTTTACAACACCATGTTCATGGAACCAACAGTCGATAAGACATGTTTGAGCGCTGCTCAGGTAGACTTGACCCTTTAAACCCAATCAGCTACCTGGGTTGAAGTCCATGGACCCTGGCTAAGATAAGCTTGGCTTGACTGCCTGACAGTCCTTTCAAACTTTTCTGGGCAGGTTTTGGAGGATGGGCAGTTGGCTGAGGTATGGGAGGACATTGGGGCACACCTTCACCCAGATGATTTAGAGCAGCTGCGGAAGGTGAGGCATCCAGGGCTTTGGCAGCTTGGTCGCAAGACAAAGCATGTTCGGCCCCTTCGCGTTGCAAAAGTGGCTGGCAAGATGATGTCGTTCACTCAGCCAAGGTTGTCCAATGGCTAATGGCTGAATTTGGGGTTTCTTGCCAGCAGTTTGAAAACCGAAATGACGCAAGCGGTCCCCCAGTGACTCATGGATTGATTTACTTGGGAAGGCAAAGCCAAGTGTTGGAGGTTCCTCCATTGTCACTCCTCTCTCTTGAATCAGGTTGCTCATGTTTGACCTAGACCCCTTTTCAGTTGGCATTTGGCCCGTCACGCCTGTCCGGAAGTTCTTGAGGTGTTTCGACCTCCTGTTCACCACCATCCACCGGGGTCAAATGCTGGGGGTGTACTCTGGAGAGCTCGCCAGTGGCATGTTCGAGCGTACCACCAGCATGCTGGAAGGCGGGATGCAACATTGCTATTTGAAGGAGGGACAGGTTGTTTGTTTTGATGGATGCCTGAGCTTTGAAATGCTTGTGGCTTGAAGCTCATTTGAGCTCGTTGGGTTCCAAGACTGGCAAAATGAACATGATCACAGGACTGGCAACATGCATAAAGTGCCTGTTCCTGTGAGCTTTGCCATGCACATAGACAAGTTTTGCCGGCGGACGTTTTCAGGGATACGAGGCTTTGCAGGAAGTTATGCTGACTAAGACCAGCGGCGCCTTTAGAAGACCCTCATCCTAGGCTGATCTCGGAGCTCCTTAGCATCTTGCCATGTCATGCGACGTACGATGATGCGGTGTTAGCAGCCCCACTGGCCCCACTTCTCAAGTGACTTGAGGTGCAGTGGGCACCTACCCCTCTGGCTGAGAAGGTGCAAGAGATTTCTTGGTTTGGGTTCCAGGTTCGTTTCTTTAGACGATGCAACTCGTGTGCACGGAGAATGGTGGCCACAAGCTAAAATAGACTTCGGGGATCATAAGTCATAGGCAGCAAAATCCTTGTTGAATGGAGCGCATGGGATTGGAATCAGCTTGGAGCATTTTAAGTTTTTTGTGCTGCCATCGTGACCGATTCGACGTTTACTTTTTGGTGCGAGGACAAGTTCCAATTTGCAATGTTTTGGACTGGTGGCACCAATCAGCACAGTACGCCACATTGCCAAACGTGCTTCGTAGGCGAACGCATGGAACGGTTGAGGGCAGGTGGTCCTGGCGATGCACAAATCATGTTTGTTTTTTGGAAAGGAGGAATTCCATGACTCGGCATGTCAAGGGAGCATCTAAGCATCCGGATGCAGAGTTTTTGCTATTGCACATTTGTCCTGCAGGTGTGCAGCTCCTAGGGAATTTGGAAGAGGTGTGCTTCACTTTGAAGAAAGCAAGATGGATCGCATTCATCATACCTGTACCGCAACTCAGATAACGTCAAGGTAAACGGGCAGTCTTTTCGTCGCTTTTTTAGGATACCAGTTCTGCGAGATGGTGCAGCACCAGCCCAACCCGGCACCCTTCGCAGTGCACCTGCGCAGCATCTTGCTGGTCTTTTGCGTGAGCTTTCCCTTCACCATCATCGGGCAGATGTGCCTGGGACCGAAGCAAAAAGGCGGACAAAAACATGGCTGGTCTTTGGTGGATGCGCACGGAGGCCTTTAGATCTCTTGAAAAGTATCGATTTTTTCTGGTTGGATCTAAGCTCAGATTGGAAGATCCACTCCAAATCTGGGTGGCAAGGCACGCGGGACGGAACCAACGGGCCAAATGTCCGCCCCGCCAAAGTCTCTAAGCTGCCAGGTGCTCCGAAAATTATTTGCTACTCTTTGGATTCCTTCACTGCTGCCCCAAGAAAGGGCAAAGAAGCCTGTGTTGTACTCGGGCCTTTGTGGTATGGAATTCAGCCAGATACCAGCTCTTAGGGACATTTCTTCACTACCAGTTCAGTCTGTTCGTCAAGATGTGACGTTTGGCCGCCGTGAAATCGATCCGAAAGTAACTCCTGATTGAAACTGCAGGCATCGGCTAGACCTGCATGTAAATTCACAAGTCCAATTGGCCTGCAGCAAACAAGCACCACAATTCGGTGCCTGCAACCCGATGGCTGTAGATAGTCCCGATATATATATATATATACCACTATATATATATACCATATATATATATATACATACACACCATATATGGCACGTTCCGTTTGCCGATGCCGAGAAGCCCGACGAGCCTGGTCCTCATGCAGTCTGCCCTGAGCTTCAGCCTGCTGGGGATCGAGTTCGTGAGCCGGGAGATGCCTGGAGAGAACTTTGATGCCTTCTTTACCTCGGTTTAAAGGGACACCAAGAGGGAAACCCCGATTTTTTAGATCTTGTCACATGCCCAAATTAAATTCATGAAGGTGCCGTCCAACCCCCACAGAACCAAACTGTGGGCTGCTGGAAGTTTTTTTTGGACGGGTTTGGTAGGTTCCATGCTGGGTGGGGGGCACCTCCCCCATCCTCATTTTTGACACCTCTACCGATTTCTTTTGAGGGGGGACTGTGGCAGTGCACTTCCAATATTCATCTGCCCGTGCAAGTCAGTACTTGCTGTTTGCACTCACTTTGCTTATGTTGAGCTCTTGTGGAACAAACTGTGTGTGTTTTTCTCTGATTTGCGGCATGGAGATCCTGCATGAATTTAAATTTGACATAGAGTAAGTAGTACTAAAATTATAATGTAAACATAAATCGTTGATTTATTTATTTGTTGAGCTCTGTTTAAATTCAGTTACACATAAAATAGAAATTGATATAGATATGACATATATAAGTATAACATCACAAGGAAACATATCACGGGGCACAAGTTTGTCTAAGAACTATGTTCAAATATTGCCCAATGTGTAAAAACATGATTCTGGAAATAGTCCTGTATATATTTGAACTTGAAATAGGACACATATCATTTAAATTTGTATGAATCCTGATCACGAAAGCTAGCTTTAGCTAGCTGAAGTTTCTCCTTGCGTAAGCAAGGTAAGGGGCTCAAATGCCGAAAGATTGATTTTTTCAATTATTTGAGCCGAAAAGATTGAAAAACATCAATTATTTAGACCCCCCCCCCCCCTCCCCCCCTTCCCGGGTCTCAGGCTCGATTCCTCCCTGGTCCATCCCCCCCCCCGGGCAGTGGCTCAGTGTTCAGCAGTCTCGGTTTGCCCGTTTTGGACTTGGTGCTACGAACTTTTACATGTTCCGCCGATTCAGCTTGTTCATTTGAGACCTCAGTCTTCTCGGTAAACCACCTCGCAAGAATCTTTGCACACGCTGCATGCAGAAACCAGAGGTGCTTTAAGACAGCTTCTGACGCCTCTCGTTGTTTTCAGTTTTCAAGGTTTGCCACGCCACCATGTGCGTTTGCGTGTCGCATCCTACGAATCTTGCCGGGCCTCTCGTTGTACACAAGCTACGTATGAATCCACTCTGTCACCGACCCATCTCATGCAACAACTGCTAGCTTTCGTTCACCCGCTCCTCAAGTTGGATGATGTCCTTATCAAGTTCTACTTCAATTCAGTTAGATATTGAATAGACGTTGCGTTCAGAGGTCCCAAAATCGTGTTTTTTTTTCCCCAACCCCCAACATTGTAAAACAGTGCTTTGTAGCGTTTTTTCCCCATTGAATTCCCTTCTTCACCAACGGCCGCTCTCTAACATTCGATTAGAAGTGGAATGGAATCAACATACGACTCAAAAAGGACCTGTTGGAAATTCTATCTTAAATTGGGAATCTGCGCAGAAATCCTTGCCAAATAGAACTTTGCGATTCAATCAGGGTTGAAATAGAATTTGATAAGGGAGTAATCCAATCATCATTTCAACTTTGAATTGAAATTTCGAGAAGCACTATTCCATTGGACCGTTTCCTTTCCAATACAGCTTTGCTACATGTCATTAATATGTGAACACATTTTTTCTTCAACCAGAGTTTAACTCGACATTTCATGTTAACCTGGATGCTTTTCAGTATAGCATGTGCCAACAAAAGACCTCGAGACCCCCCCCCCCCCTCCCCCCCCAAAACAAACTCTAACTCCCAGAACTCTTGGCACAGTGCCATCGGCTACTGCTAGAAAGACTCCATCATCTAGCCATTCTACATGGTTTCCATGCTTTTGTTGAAAGACAGGAATGCGTTAGAACAGCAGAAGAGACAGACATGTACACACATACCTCAAAACAACACAACACGTGCGATTTACGTTGGAAAACACGAACCATGCATTGCCGCCCCCCGGCAGCCCTGGGAGCCAAGGATGGAGCACCCGTTCGGCAACGACGAGTCGGACGTGCCCACACGGAAGGTCATGGGCAAGACCAGAGCGGCAATCCGAGCGATCCTGTGGAAGCACTCCAGCCACCAAGAGAGCGTGGATTGGATCGGGTAGTTGCCTTTTTTACCACTGCTTAGCAGGGGAGGTGCTGTGCGTGCAAAAAGGGCATGTTTCGGTTTATCGTGTGATTTTTCCTTTGGCTTTAAGGGCCAAGAAGGACGGTGTACAAAGCCTAGGGCCTGCAAATGCTCCCATGCTGGCTTGTCTAGTCAAATCACCAATCAGGGAGAGGTCTTCGTGGTCCTTGGCACTTGTTCGATGGGAGCATGTGCCCGGCCCGGGAACCCCGACTTTCCATGTGCGGGTGGAAAGGAACGCAGACAGGGTCCGTTGGCCATTTAAGGCACTGCTGACACCATGGTCATGGGCTGACTGGCTGGCAACCCGCAGACATCCTAGAGAACAATCGTTTGCCTTGATAGCAGAATCGGTTTGAGTGTTGGCGGAGTGCCAGAAGTTCTGACCGAAGCCACAGGAACTTGAGCTATTTCACCTGTGTGTCTCGAAGCAGCAAGACTGTGGAAGCGGACAAGCAATCACGACAACACCTTGCTCATGGTTGACATCATGTTTGAGCTGCCTTGTTGGTTGACCGCTCAAATCTGGAAGGTTGGGAATAGGATGGACATCAGCTGTTTGCCAGCAGTCTTTGTAATCGTCACTCGGATCCCCTGACAAGAGCTCTGTAGCGTATAATCTGACCAGTGCGGCTCAACCAAAACGCTTCACAATTGGGCTGAAGTGTCTCCTGTCGCCTTTCCAGGCATCCTTGGGTCCTTGAGTGCAATGTGCTTGCATTGCCACTAGTCTTAATGACTACACATATGTTTTCAAGGCAACACCACACTGGCGCCAAGGAGGACAATACGAGCAAGATTGGGCAGCATTGCGTGTGGATCAACACCACCGTTGCTTTCAGCTTTAGCAGTGACAGAGCTCACCAAGAGGTGGCTCTGGCCTTGTTTGAGCAGTAAGAGTCCAACTCAGCTTTGACTATGATGTTTTTAACAGGGCAACCACCCCTCACAAGCGTTTGGTGGACATCAGTCTCCACCCAAACCATGTCCACGCAAGGGTCCCCTATTGCAATCCACACCCATTCGAACGCGTCGGGGTGAGCCGCACCTCCGATGCAAGCAACATGGGCAGCTCCTCGGCGGCCGCTTTTGGCTGTTCCAGTGCCACGTGAGCCCTGGCGAAGATCGGGCATGTCGGGTGTGATAAGTTTGAGTGAGCATGATTTGTATAGTACTATGGACGAAATCCTGCACCATCTAAGAAACCCTAGAATGATATGATCCCCTGTAAATACCCACAAACAATGGTTTCCCATGATGTCTTGGGTGGTGCAGGATTTTGTCCATCCACAGTGTGACACATGATCCCCTTCAATGTTCAATGGAAAAAGCTCGGAATGTCGAGCAGAAGGCATTTGGAGGCTACCAGGGCGGTCCAGGAAGGAATCGAGCCCTGGTAGGATTTGCGCAGCGGATATGGTACGCCATAGCACACCTGCAGAACACACATGCAACGGCGCAAGGGCTTTTGTGTATTTCTGAACAAGTTCCGCTGTGCGGGTCGTTTATTGAAACAACACATCGAGCTGCTCTCTATGTTATTTTTTGCTCTTCATCATTATTTCCAAAGCACGCCCTTGTCTTGAAGTTTGCCAAATAGTTGAATCGGTGCTTGACTGTGCGGGAAGTGAATGCTGCAGGTGTTGTGGTTTTGATGAGTCCCAGATCCCTTAGACGAATCCGACAGTTCGCATGTTGTGGTGGGTCTTGTGGTTCGTGTGGTTCTGTCCAAGCAACCTGATTCTTGAGGAAGTTGGCATTTGAGTCAACGGTTGACATGTCTCATTTTTGCAGCATAGGTACCGAAAGTGTAGCGTATGTTTGAACAGGATACGCCGAATTTTGAGCGTCAACTACAACGTACAAGTGGAGCTGCCAATGCATTTATGCATTTGTTGGCCGTCTTTGGCACCATGAACCAGCATGCCAGCTTGCCAGGTTGAATACGAGGTTTTGGTAAGTGTTGGCCCCTTCTTTCTTCATGATTCCAATCTTTACCTTTGCAAAGGCCAGACTGATCAGCTTCGTGTGTGCCTGTCCGATCTGAATCCTTTGCTCTGACGCAGAACGGGTAAGCTGTACAGTCTTCAAATAGTCTGTTGGAACGGAACACCAATTTGACAAATTCACTCAGCGCAAGTCTCCCTCTCCATTGACTAGAAAAGCGAGAGGCCCGCCATGGGGCACGCCCCGTGTTTGTGAAATCCGCTTTTTCTCTACTTTGGCACGTATGGACCCCCAAACCTATGTACCAGGTGAACCGTGACACACACAAATTGAGTGAAATTCATGTGAAAAGCTGCAAAACACATTGGCAAATGACGCGCTTCCATCAAATTGTCTTGGCAAGTATTACAGTTGAAAGAGTATTCTACACATGCTTTGCTTAGCTTGATTGTATTTCCAGCTCGGTGTCCATATGTGACATGCCTGGCGCACTTCAAGCCTTGTCTTATATATTTTTTGCTTATGATGAGTTGTTGAAAATGTTTCTCAAACTACAAGCATCCAGCATCCTAGCAAACGTGTTTGCCACTATTCGGAGATATTGCACAACACAACTTGAACATTGAACAAGCACTTGCTTGGACACTGCACTCTGCAGAAATTTGGGCTTTCCCCACACATCCCCACAAACTGCGCAATAAACCAAGCAGAAGACAGAATCCACCCCCGTCTATTTCACTGGCATTTACCACCTAATTTGCGTTTTGTCGACTGATTTGTTGGTTGCAGTTTCTGCCTACCAGCGCCCTGCCTTTGCCAAGTGCAAGTGAAGACGCCTGGTCTTTGTTGATTCCTCGCACCGTCCAAAAGTGCAAAAAGGTTTGGTAATCCTAGAAACATGCGACATAACGAACATAGTGGCAATTTCTTAGCAGCATGCGATGCAATGAGAGAGAGTTTGCATGGGATATTCCTACAAACATAACGGCAACATCTGAGAAACCAAACAACAATTATGAACCCCCAAAAATATATTGCAACAAACTCACCGCTGAATGATGTTTTGGACATCCTTTTGTTTGGGATATTGTTTTTGTCTTCTTATTTTTTGCTGTTGTTTGTTTGTTTTTTCTCGGTTTTTGTTTTGGTTTATTTTCGTTGCATCAGTGTAGGTTTTGCCAGCAGCTGCCGTGATCAAGCTTCGCATGGGAGAGATTTGCTAGGACAAGAGAATGGCCAAATCTGCGAAAACCAAATCGCCTCGGGGAAAGCCGAACCAAAACAACAAGAAACCTGCGGGAAATGTTCTGGACATGCCAAATACCTTTTGTCGGGGGGATTGTTTGTTGTTGTTCTTTTGCTTTCTTTCAGAAGTACAGGTTCTCAAGGGAGCACGGTTCAGGCAAGAAAGCAAAGGTAGTTTGGCAGCATGCGAAGCCCTGGTCGAAGTACTTGTCTTCTGCTTCATACCATGTTGTTCATTGCAAACAGTAGATGCTGATCAGCCTTCAAACATCTGCCGAGCAGCAAAGTTGGACAGTGACACCATCAGCGGCATCCGCTGAGGACCATCCACGGCCATTGACCGGAGGCTTAGACTACAAAGGTGTCGTGGCTGAAGCTCCAGATCCTTCAAAGGTTTCCTGGAGACTCAAACAACGAGAAATCGCTCAGAATATTGTGGACATGTTACATAGGGTCCTATCATAGGGTAGTGTAAAGGTTCAGGTACGCGTCCTTTGTGACTTGTTGTTCTCGGTCCATCCATACACCGAAGAAGGCCAGGCGCTTTCGTTTGCCCGATGGCAGCTGGGCAGTTGGGATGAGAGGCAGCAGACTTGTTTGAGGTTTGAACGTAGACACCTGTTCGATTCGGTTCGACAAGGCATGTTTCTATGCGTTTTGCTTTGTTTACCCCCATTTCATTTTATATGTGGTGCTCTATTCAGCCGCAATAGCAACAATTGTCGTGCTTCCACGTGTCGAAATGGTTATTCCGATGTACAGTAATTTCTGTTCAACTGTTTGTTTGCTGTGTGCCATCTATCTACGTGGCTTCACATCAAACATGAATGCGGAATGGAGAAGCTTGTTGTTTGCCGGAGATGCCAGTTTGAACCGACGCAGCGTTCACCTTGAGTTCTGCACGTGCGGCTTTTCGGGTTTGGCAGTTCCCGGTCTTCCGCCGCAAGTCTCAGGAAGCGAGCGGAGCCTAGGAAGCCAAAAAACGGCTTGAGTTCAGTTTAGAGTTCGGAAGCATCGCCAGAAGGGCAGTCATCCAAATGAAACACATGCACACGTATTACAACTGGGTCCGTTGGACTGTCTTAAAGAGGCTCTGCTTTTCTTTTTTTCGTTCTGGCTGCTTTTGTTTCGTTGTTTTGCTGGCGGTCCCGCTTTGGCCTACGTGGTTGCTTTTGTTGCTGAACATATTGATTTGTGCACTGGTTGCCAGCACGAACTCTGCAATTAGTGTATCTCCTTGACCAGGGGCCTTATTTGCTGGTATCCTGCATTTTTCCTAGCTTGGGAGCCCAAGGAAAGTGCAGACAGATCCACAGCCCTCCGACTGTTTGAATCTCGGGCTGCGTTAGGACTGCCGCTGGCTTCAGGTTTGGCCCCTTTGCTTCGGAGGCCGGCCTCAGCGTTGTCTCGCATCCTCTCGAGATGTTTGCGGAATGCGTCAAGACTAGGAGCCCCGGTCCATGTATGCAAGGTCTGGAGAAACTGCCGAACCTCCTGGTGCCACAAGTGTGCCACATGCGCCCTTGCAAAAGGAGGATAAACCATGGAAAGGCCCTTCCCAAATGAAGGGGCCAAATCGGCTACAACTCGGTGTTCTTGTGCCAAAGCTCTCCCAGATTTCACCATGATTTTCAGCACCCCAGCTACTTTGACTCTCAGTTCAGTGATCGTGAGCCGGAGGGTTTGTTTTTGGTTTGGTCGAACATGCAGCTCTCTGTAGACACATTGGATTCACTGTCTGAATCGAGCTGCTCCTTGATCCAAACCTTAGACGCTTGACAGCTACGGGTTTGATCATGAGCAATGGTTGCGTTTGTCCCGTGTTGCTCGCGCTTCGCATCGGGGTTGCATTTGGCAGCGTAACCCCAGCGCTCCCCCTGTGTGCCCAGAGTAAGAAAGCTATGAACTTGAAAGTGCGGATGCCGACACTGGCCAGGCCCCGGACGACGGTGCGAGCGGTGCTCTTTGTAGGCGGGTGATGGCCATTGTATGGAACTCCATGGGCCAGTGAAACGGTTCCCTTCTAAATTGAATCAAATGCCAACTCTATGTTCATAGGTTTACTATAAACAATGTTGACAAATCCTTGGAGACAGGTATGCCAAGGTACGTAACTAGGGCTTGAGAATCGACAGTTGCTGGAATGCTCGAAAGGTGTTCGATATCCCTTGGAGCCGCGGGGATATTCGTACGCAGTGGAAGATGGTACTTGTTGGTCCCTATGCTGGTGGGGCTTCAAAGTCAGGGTTAGGGGTTGCCATGTTGGGATGGTTGAATCTTAGCGGCCAGTTGTCCATGCGCCTGCAGTTTAGATCATTGTGTTGCCCGACTTGCCCTTGGTTTTCAATTGCCTCATGATTTGACAATGCAGTTTCCAAGGCGACATGAACGACACTCAGAATCCGAAGACTTAGTGTCTTTCTGGTTTCGCCCAAATCCAACTACTGCCAACATCGCTGCTCTCACAGGCGGCGTTCCTCCTGACATGGACTCCGAAGAAGTGCAGCGGCATCTGGCGCAGCAGCTCAACAGCATTAGCTTCCAATCGTTGCAAGCCTGGTCAAACACGCGTGGTTCTGCAATCCTTGCGAAAGGATTTTTAGCCAAAAGCAAGTCACCATAGCCTGAGGTTGCAGGCCGGGCATATCAGCACCAGCTTGCTTACCCTGTTTCATGTGGACCTGTTGCCCAAGAGCGCCAAGGCCTGTATCGGCATGTGGTCCAAGACAGCTGTTCAACTTGGTTGATGCCATTGAAGTTGTTGGAGACTTCTGGTGTAATTGTGCCACGCATGTTTGTTAGTTTACAACAGGTCTCGCAAAACACGATGCATTTGCTCCCTGGCATTGCCATGCAAGCGCTTCTTCGGGTAGTCCATCTTCTACATGTTCAGTGTCGCTGTGGGCCTCTTGCCGTTTTTGAGCTCACACGTTCAAACTTGGGGGTCACTTCTTGGGCCAGTAGACAAGATCCAACGCGGACGGCAGATCAGCATACCCTTTTTGTTTCGAGTGGGGAACAGATGCACCCAGAGAAGAGCTTTTGCGCAAGGCCCGGCTGGGCTACACAAAATGCAGCCCGACACAGAAGCGGGGATCAACATCCAAAATTAATACTCGGATTTCTAGTAATGTATAAACAAACACACACATAGACCAAAACACAGAACAAAAGACAACAGGACCTTGTCCTTCGAACATCGGGCTATCGTTTGTGCCTTCAACTTGGACCTCATGATGAGCATACTTTGAGAGTCTTGTCTTACTTTCGCTTGGGATGCTTACCTTTTGCTAGCCATGGCGCTTTCTGTGCTTTGCCTGGCACTCGCCTGGGCGCAAGTTGCAGCAGATGTGACCATTGCCGTGCCTTGGCGGGTTGGCAGAAACTGCCCTTCCAAGCGGCAGCGAAAGCTCTTCCATTGGGGATGGACGCTGATTCACCCGAGTCTTCAGCTCACAAGGGTTGAGTCAGATCTCTGTGCTTACCATTTTTGGTGTGATGCCCCTTTAGATTGAATGCCGGGGGAAGAATGGCAAAGCTGCAGCCAATCTCCAATAGCGATCCCGCCCAAATGTCTCCGCCCTTGGGGCCGGGCACAGGTGCATAACAAAGGGCATAAATCGCAAGCACTTCAGTTTGTTTGAGGCTCGACCAGCCAGGTCAAAAGATTTGTGTGTCTGGTCTTCTCCTGTTGAGTTCAATACCTGCACCCTTCACGAAACATAGTACGCTTTGGCACACAATGTCGACTTAACATTAAGTGTATTGTAGGTTGTGTAGTTGTTCGTCCTATTTGTTGACCGAATGTTAAGCCAAATTCCACATCCTATGAAATGCTTCACCTATGTATGGTGCTTGAGTTGGCGCATGGCAAGCTGATATATGATATAATACAACCATGGGAGTTCGAGAGTGCCCTTCTCTGCAACCAGGCCCCTTCCGTGTGAAGATTTGTGCGAGTGGCGCTTGAAGCAGGGGTGGAACTCAGGTGGTTGGCGCCGTCAATGTGGACATCACCATGCAGGCCCTGCGAAAGAGAGGTGAACGGGAAGAGCTTTAAGGAAGCCTGGGGTCCTGACGCTGTTTCTAGTGGAGCGCCCGAGCACCTATCAAGCTTGCCGCTGCCACATTGTGGCGGATCGCCGTCGTCATTTAACGATCTTGCCAAAGCTACAAGTGCGGATACAAGCGACATTGTCAGGTTGCAGTAGCTGGTCAAGCACCTGACCGCCAATCAACACACGTCAGCTTGGGTATGGTGAATGTTGTGTTCTGCTCTTGAGCATTGTGATGGATTGAACATCTAGATTAAGATAATTGATCATGTTCGCAAGGGTACATATTAGAGTTTGCAGTTGAGGCACAGGCATACTCTTTTGCCTGGTTGCAAACGTATCTACCGACCATTTGCCAACAAATGATGTAACATACTTCAGTAAGGACAACTCACTCGTTGGTCGGCAGAAGTTGCCCTTTGCATAACTTATGGTTGCTAACAGGGAATAACATGTCCCATTCAGTATGTAGACAGCCACTGCCTAGCTCCGAATGCGCAGACCATTTGTGTGTTGCAGTGTCTCATCAACAAAGAGTCTTGTGCATAGCCGAGAAGTTGGTTTCTTTCCTTCATCTGAAACGGAGTCACTGCTCGGGTACAGTACTGAAAAAGGCCTTCAAATGGTTGGGACTGGGGCCTGAATAGGCCGGCGCTGGGATTTGCTCGCTTTCCGTGCAACGGGTCTTTCTACTAACTAGAGTCTTAGAGTCTCATGCTGGACGAAGTCCCGTTCCTGGAAGGTACCCAAAGGAAGTCTTTTGTTGGAGTGTTGGATGTGCCAGTTGCTTCGCTTGCAGCTGTGGAGCACTCGTTGCCATAAGAAGGTAACCTGCCTTGGGCACCCGTGCCCCAGGGCGGGCCCGTTGAGTGTGCTAGCGAGACGAAAGCAAAACCCACTGCCACATCAGTGGCAAATGCGCTCCGAACCGGCAAAAGGCGAGAAACGAGAAGCAGATTGCTGCAGGATTCCAAGAAGCCAAGTTGGCTTGTGTTGACATTTACCTTGGTGACCATAGCTACTTAGCTATAGTCGGCTTAAGTCATCAAGCTATCGTCACTGGCCTGTTTCAAGGTTGGGTCGTCCGGATGTGTTCAGCAACTTGGCTTCGAGGAAACACCCATTTCTTTCAGAACTCCCTCCTTCATTCCCTCGGCATTCTCAGTGGACTTGTGAGCAAAACCCGACAAATTCCTTGGCAGTCTATTTTGGTTTGGAGAGGTCGTAGGGGCGCAAAGGCATCGCCCCCCCCCCCCAAGAAAAAAGAGGTACCCTAAAAAAACAATCACACACACACACCCAACACAAGTACCCTACAAACAAACACATATGTATATATAATATACATATATATATACACAAACGCACACGTAAGTCGGGGAGTTTGCTGTTGTTTGGCGGTGAGGTGAACCGCCTGCCGCGGCGCCACGAAACTCTGATGGCCTCGAGCCCTGCGGTGCAGCTGGCGCTGGGAGGCCGCGCAGACGGGGAGCTGGCGCGTTTTTGGACGCGGCCAAGGTGCCGCCGTTTTCAGATACCAAAAAGGAGCCCTAGTTCTGACAGCTCGCCTTGTAGATTGGTTTCTGTGGAAAAGGACTTCTTAATCATGCATGGCAGAAAGAGAAATTCGGCCGCAAGATGGGCCTGTTGGGATCGCGTTAAGGAGCAGGAAAGATGGCTTGCCTGGTGTTGAGCTCATGTCGAATAGAAACCGACAGGGGACCGAAGTGACAAACCCCGAACTCTGGGAACTTGCGCAAGCTGAGTCAACAAGCGTTCAAGTGGTCAGACATATGGTTTGTTTCTTCAAACGACTCTCAAGCCATCGTGGCCTGTGGGAAATGGGAGGCACGGCAGTGTTTGCGAGTTGTGGCTAGGTTTGGATTGGCACCTTTGCATTAGATGCTGAACTTAGCAGCAACATGTGTGCACGCATGTTCCTTGCAGCGCATGGCCAAACTCATGGGATGGTCTTGACTTGGCCAGCAGACTTGGCCAGTTATCCTTGCTGATGGGCTGGCTTCCCTTTGAGGCAAGCAGAGAAGATTGCGCTAGACTATTATGCTGTTGCATGTTCTGTTTGTTTTTTGTTTTTCACACTTTGGCACGCAAGTGAGGGACTTTCCATTGCAAGCTACATACCAAGGGTAAGGCTGAGCAAACTGGTTTGAGCAGCATTCCTGAACAAGGTATACTACCCTATGTATTATGCCCAAACAGGTATCAATGAACCACAATCAGCCACAATCAAGGATGGTACTACCTCTACCCCCCATTGCCACTATGTAGCCACTTGAATGGACATGTGGAATAGGAAGCGTCCTGTTCCTTTTCGGCTCGTAGCTTTCGAGTCTAGTTGGGATGTGCTCACCCTGCACATTGTGCAACAGGTGGGAAACCGGCGCCCGGGGAGGAGTGAGGCCGGGGGAGGCCCGGCACGGGAGGTTAGGGCGTAGCCGGACCCACAGCCGTGAGAGGAGGTCGAGGAGGCGCTCACGGCCTCCTCTGTTCTCAGCTCCGGCGCGTGTCCGGCCATCTTGGGCTGAGCTAACCGAGGCTGAGGGCTTCAGCCCAAAACAGGCCAGCGCCTCCGCGTAGCGACAAGCGGAAGAAGAAGACTTGCGGATCAAACGGCGCCAGTGAAGGCGTGATCCTCTGAGGAAGCCGAGGTGCACCCCAATGCATCACGGACAAGGGTCAAGGAAGGATGCTTCTGAAGCTCCTCCTCTGTCGGCTCGCTATCCAAGCAGGCCGTGCAAGCAAAAGACTGGGAAGGTGTGCGAGGCGAACATGGGCCCGGAGTTGTCCACACGCCGCAGCTGAAAAAGACAGGGGCCGGCAAGTTAGGGGAACAACCTGCTGCAGGCAGCCGCAGCGGGATCACAATCTGATGACCTGGTTATACTGGCAAGAGCCGTCCATGCCAACTCAAGGGCTTCAATGATGGATCGATTGAGGCAGGGGCAGGTGCTGGCTGCTCTGGAAAAACATGTCAACGCCTGAAGTCACAGCAGCTGATGGTGAACGGCACTGTACCGCCTCGAGCCTGCATCCCGCTTTGGAATCAAGCTGTGAGCGGCCACGTACGAGAAGTTTGAACGGGGACTTTCAATGACTTGGTAAAACAGAATATGCGGATCGGGCTTGGCTGCAAAGAATGCAGGGGAGGATACCGTCACAGTGCCAGACCCGGTGACGGCCACACCTCCAGAAAGGCACTGAGGACATATGAATTGGCAGCTGGATGGCCTCCGTGTTTCCAAAAATCCAAACAAGAGTCAAGCAGTCAACCCCTTCCGCGTCCCCTGCTGCTGCGTCCGTTGGGCACACAAACTGCTGGCTTGCTGGCAGATTGCGCGACAATGTTTCCACCCACAAACATGTCCACGCTGATGCTTTGAAACGCATGTCTGCGACAGCCGCCAACTATCTTGGATTCGCACGCGAGCTGTCCAGTCTGAGCTCCGCCGACTGAATTGGGTCGCTTTGGTGCAGCTATGCGTGCACATATCAGCACACCTGGCACCACCCCCCTCCCAAAGAAGAAGGCTTCAACTTGAAAGGCTCAAGGTCGCCCATAGAAAGAGGCCATCTACTTGCCGTTGCAGACCAGGACTCAGAGCCTTTTGCCCTAAACAGCTGTATATTTGCACGCATGGTCCTCGCAAAGCGACGAGGTGAAGGATCGTGTTCCTACGTGAAGGGTGTACGTCGAGTTTTCTTCTAGTGGTTTTGGGGTCGTGGAAAGCAGGGTTGGGCGTCATTTAAAGTGAGCGGCTTTTGCAACATGTTTCAACCGTCTCCAAGCCTGGTGAAAACCATCTGATGGATACAATAACAACGCGAGGCAAGGGTGCCAACCAGGCGGTGGCAGCAGCGCGCCAGGGCGCGCGTGTGCGATTCTTGGGCCGCTTCGGCAACGACAGCCATGGGCCCTGGTGGCTTGGCAGCCAAGGGAAAAATGAACATGATGTAGGTCCTTTGTTGTAGAAGTTGAAGATTTCTTGCTCGTCGATTGTGAGGCTCTATTGCATCTTTGACCCGCTTTGTGCCTCCACTAGCGCAGCATGCGCGGCTGTTTTTTTGTTGGCCCCCGCAAGGGTTCCAGCTGAAGTCACTCGGGTGTCATCTTGTTGACAAAATCAAGGACCCAAAAAGTCCTGCACCCCATGTAGCAGAGTGGGTCTCGGGCCCATAGCGAGGTTGCAGCAGGTGCTGATTGAGAATGGCGTGGACACCTCTGCCTGTGAGCAATCTGCCTTGCCATCAGGGCTGCTTGGTCGTTCAGGTCAAGGGCTCGAAACAACGAAAAATGTGGAGGAAATGGTTGGCGCGAAACAGCCTGGGCAGGGTTGGGGGGAAACATCATTTCGACGTATTTGGCTGCGCGTCATCAGGGTGTGTTACGTTATGTCGCGTTTCTGGGGCATTGAAGTGCTTGCAAGTTTTTGCACTTTATGATGGGTATTTGTCAGACGTAACTGCCGTGGTTTGATTTTTTCGTCACTGTTTATTATTGAGTTGAGCATGTCCTTGTTTACCTCCAGATTTGATGACACTGCCAGGTTCGGGGAATTGGGTAACCCATGTCTAGCGCCTGTTTCCTTTTGTTGATGGCGGCGCAGGACGTCGGGCAACCCAGAACTTCCCGCAGGCTTCCATTCCCAACCTAGACTATCATTGTTGCCTTTTGACCCTTGCAGGTTTTACCCATTTTCCCTGGGTCTCAGCCCGGCCAAGTTTGCACCAGGGAAGAAAGAGCGCTGAGGCAGGGGATGGTCATGCTCGACGCAGACGGCGGGGCGTCTTCAGTGGTGGTGCCAGGTGCCAACAGCGAGGCTTGGCTAAAGACACGCGGCGAGATGGGGTGACCCTGTTTCCCCACTTGGAAAGTTAGTTTTGTATTTAATTTTACGTGGAAGGCAAATTCGTTTCGTAGCAGTTGGATGGTAGCCCCAAACCTGTTTGTCTTCCATTTCAGTGTCCCAAACACAAGTTGGGGGTCAAGAAGCAGGATCTTCTTCATGTTCGGCCAGATGGGTGCTGCTACATGACCCGTTCAGACAAAAGAATTGGAGATCTCCCCTCACACTGAAGCCGGTTCAGCGGTGAAGTCTGCGGACGGTTTCAACGACCCTCCAAAATTCTGCCAATTTGAAACAAGTGAATAACAAGTTGACGACAAGAGCATATTTGTTTTGAGTGTCTGTTAACCACCCACCATGTTGCCCCCTCCCACCCCCGGTGGGATGTGCTGCCAGTCCAAGGTTTTGCCTAATCTGAAGGGAGTCTTTGTTTCCCTTGGTGCTCGACATCGGAAAGTGGAGAATATGTTGATTGGAAGACCGTGCCGCTTGCCAAATGAGTCAGACGTTCTCGCATATCCTTGCAGTCAATGGCCTGCCTGCAGGATTTTGTGGAGGGTATGAGTCAGTTCAGACCAATGCAACCGAAAACCATGCTGAATGGAGCTGACACGCCGAGCAGCACGCCTAGGATTGGGGATCCCTTCAACCTGGAGTTCTGCAAAGCATGCTGCAAGGCAGGCAGAGTGACACTGCTGGGGAGCTGCTTCATGGCAAGGATTCTGCGCTTGACAGTGACCAGCGACCGCAAACGGGGGATATGGGCTTGCAGTTGATCCTGAAGGTCATGATTGGCTGGCGAGTGATGGCTCGATTGCTGAAACCTGGAGGTTCTACAATTATTGCCTATTGCAATCCTTTTCTGAGCATCCCAGCAGCCTTGTGCCTACCAAGATAGCTATCTCATCACCCCCGTTTGAAAAACATGTCTAAAGCGGGGAAGGAGCAAATGCCAGAAGCGTCACTTTGGCAGGCCACCCAGCTAAATGGCGACCGTGTCATTCTTGCTGTTCCACCACGATCTGAGAAGTTCGACGTGGGCCTTGAAAAAACCATCACGCTGCAGCTACCCTCGGGATTCCCACTTACGCGCGGCGAGGTATGGACCATAGTTTGTTTCCGGCTTTGGACCTTTGAGCTGCCCAGAATTGCCTACAACACACTTCTTTTTTTTTTTATGGCACATCCCTCAAGTCCTAGAATGACGCGCAAAAGGCTGCAAACCGATGATATCGGCATGTTTAGAGTAGGAATGCTAGACCTCCGGTCGATGTTCTAAAGGTTCATCTGGCAGATTGTCCTCACAGCCTCCACCTTTCAGAAGGTGAAGCAAGACATTTGAGCAGCGCCATGAATCCTGGCAATACAAAGTGGTACCGCGTTTTACACCAGAAAATTCGGCACGGCGGTCAAAATCCAAATCGGTTAGCCCCCAGTGAACATCCCAATCCAACCACTAAAATAGGTTCTAAAATTGGTGGTGCATCTACCCCAAAATGGGATCCCATTGGTTTTGACCCACAGCCATTTGTTGTTTAGGGCTTATCCTTCTTCAGGTGAATTACCCAAGCTGTGGGCGCTGGAGCTGATCTGTGCACTCAGACACCTGAAATGAACTGTGGTTGGCCTAGCCCCAAGACAGGAGTTTGCAAGGCACAGATCCTGTTGTTCCAGTTTGCAACATGGAAAACTGGTTGTTCAAACTCAATCATCCTTGTGCCAGATGGTTTGTTTCCCTTCTTGTAGTTGAGTACCACTACACGCATTAGGATTGGCATCCTCTCAATTGAGCTACCCATGCTGTGAGATATGCAGCAACAATACTTCACTTGTTCATTAGAACAACGGCCTCCAGGAATCTATGCAAAGCAGGATGCTGATCTCGCTGACTTCGCGGCAGGTGCTGCGGTGCTTCTGCTGCAGCGCGAGATCCCAGAAGCCGTGAATGTGGCGGCAGCCAAGGCGAGCCAGGGGCTCATGGGCGACAATAAAAGGTTTTCCACGTGGGACGCATGTGGAAGGTTTTCCACGTGGGACGTGTGTGGTTTCTTGGTGGGTAACTTTTTTCGGATTCGTTTGAAGGGACACCAAAATTTAGGTGCCTTTATTTTGACACATACCATACCCATATTGGCCAAAATGTGGGATGCCTTTTGTTTGGCTGTTTAAGGGAAACACCAAAGACATTTAGCCTTATGTTTGCACACATTGTTATGAGCGACGGTCAAATCTTTGGAGAACCAAACGGAAAGGGAGAAAATGACACGACTGCATGCATGCCGACATCCCAAGTCTTCAGGAACGATTGGGCCTACAGAAGGATATGTGTAACTTGTCAGACCAGATGTTTCTGAGAGTTAGACTGCACACCCCTGGTGTCATTTGAGGCTCATTTGATGCTTGGAGGTTCCTCTACAATTGTTGGTCTTAGGGGTGTGTAGGTCCCAGCCATAACGACCTTGCGGACGAATGCTGAAGGTTGTGTGCTTGAGGCTCCATTTCTGTTGGTGGATGACTCAGCCAGATCAATGCCAGGCGGCCAAAGTGCTGGGTATCACGGTCATGCAGGATGTGGGCGGCGAGGAGCGGCGTGTGTTTCGCCTTTCACGTGGCCAACTCCTGTGACTAGGTCCGCTGAGTTGGAATAACGAGAGTTGTCACGTAGTATTTGTTATCGCTGGTTTGTCAATGCAAGTGCCACGCAGGAAAGCTAGAAACTGCCGGGCATGTTGCACCTTGTGCCAAGCAGTTTGATTGTCTATGTCTTGCCTGTACCTGTTGCCAAAAAATGTCGCCCGTTGGAAATGTGAGCTGTACCCAGGACAGTTTGTATCGAAACTCATGTAGATACTCGTACCTTCACAGTTTCACCGGTTCAAAGGAAGGTAGTAATGCCCGGTAGCGACCTGGCGTGAGAGAGAGAGAGAGAGGAGGAGAAGCGACGCCAAACTGCGGATATGTTTTGACACCTGTGAACTCCCAACAAACTCCCAGGCTGGATGGCTCCTTTCCAAAACATGCCTCCTGTTGTCGTTTGATCTAATTACGGGTGCCGTCCAATGCTAGCCTGGGCTGCGCAGGCGACGTTGCAAACCGATTGGCAAGAGTTGGGGTGCGAGACTGAAAGAGTTGTGCCGCTGTGCCTGACTGTCACCACTGGGGTTCCGAGGTGAGCGATCATGGCGCTTCTCACTTAACCAGTTGCTTTTGGTTTTCCCCAACAGGCGAAGGCTTTGGAGTCTCTGCCCAGATAGGCTTCGGAGTGGTTCGGAGCCTCGGGCTAGGGTTCTGGAAGGGTTCCGGCGGGTTCTGGGATTTGCTTGACAGGGAATCAAAGAGAAACCACAAATTGTAGGGTTCCCCATTTGGAGACAAACCCAGGTGTTTGTGTGTGTGTGTGTGCCTCTTTGTTTTTCTCGCCTTTTCTTGCTTGCAGTTTTTTTTGTTTCTTCTTTCTTTCTTTTTTGTTCTTTCCTTTTTCCTTTTTTCTTTCTTTCTTTCTTTTTCTTTCTTTTTCTTTCTTTCTTTCTTTCTTTCTTTCCTTCTTTCTTCTTTCTTTGGTTCTTTCTCTTTGTGTCGGTTTGCAAGTGTGCTTGTGTGTTTGGGTGAATGTTTGTTGGTGTGCGCTCCTGTGTCTTTGTGTTTGTCTCCGTGTCTCCGTGTCTCTGTGTGTCTGTGTGATGTGGCTCTCGTCTGCGGGATTCTGCATGTCTGGTGCGCTTCTCTGATGTCTTTGCATTGCGGGATCGGATTTTTTTTCGTTTGTTCCCCACAGCCCCCAGTGGCGCAAAGACGGCAAATTGAATTCGCCAGATGAGAAGCCCCCAGTGGCGCGAGCTTCCCCTTTTTCTGCCAGTTTGGCACTGAGCATGTTCTGCGGGGCGGCCTGTACCATCCCGGTTTCAGGTATCTTTCCTGGTAGGTGTTTTCTTGAACACTCCTCACTTGACATGCAAGATGACCCTCTTTGACAATATTGAGATCATACACTGCCCACTTTTCCTGTTTCCCTGCTACTTGGCAGCTTGGCTTCGACCAGGACGGGCCACTCTCAGAGGAGCTGCTGGGATTAGTAGACTTCATCTCCCCAAATGAGAACGAGCTGCACCGCCTGACCGGGCTTCCGACGGCGACCAGGCCATTTTCCGGAAGGGCTGTTTGGGTCACACTGGGGATTGTTTGGGGAGGGGTTGAAAAGGCGGTGCCTGGCCTTTGACGCATGGTGGGTTTTTTGGGGAATTCCGGATGGACAAAGAACCTGCAATACTGGGTACGATTCTTTGAGCAGAATCATGAGATCCAATCACTCGCGTTTCGCTTGGCGCATTTTTGTGGCCACTACGATGCGACTACTAGCAACCTATTATTAAGTTTGTTTTCATGTGCCTCTGACAGGTTCGATGGTAGAACAGGAAACATAGAATCAAGCCTGTGTTGAAACTATAAATTAATAGCTTCATGCCAACTTTCTTTGGCTTCTTTCACAGGAGGGGTCCCGCTTTTGACAGCCATATATACATATACATATATATATATATATATATATGTGTTCCACCCGTTTCATGACCCTTCCATCCGAAAATGACCTAGCAACCACTTGCTTCTGGCATGACATCGGGTGACAAAGCAAACAAGAACAATTGATGCTCGTTTGAAGTGCAATAGTGCTCCTTCCATCGATGTTTGGATCTTAAATCTTGGCACTGCGCCGATACTTCAACTGCAAAGCGAGTTAAGCTCCAGGCACCTTTGTGGCTTCAGTTTTTAACATGCCCATATTGAAGCCGATCGGCGGCCACAGTGGTTGTGAGGCCGCATCATAGAAAATTTGTGCCGCTTGCCATCCAAATCTGACACAGGCAATTATACCCCAACACCTCTCGTGCTACCGACATGAACGCAGTTGCATTCCCTTGGTGGTCAGAGGTTTTTTCGACGCCAAAAACGCCCGAAAGGCGAACTCGGGCTTGGTGAAGTGAACCCCCAGACTGGGCCATGGTTTGTGGGTGTCACGCCGGCCTCATGACCTTGTGGAAACAGATGCCTTGTCCACTAAATTCTCCGAAAGGTCAACCCGTTTGCTCAGGAAGGAAGAGAAAACCGGGCAGGAACAGTTCTGCTGTGAATGGACAAAATTTTGGACCACCCAAGGCACCATGAGAAACCATTGTTTGTTGGTATTTAGAGGGGATCATATTCTAGGGTGGTGAAGGATTTCGTCCATCCACAGTATGATTGTCCCACTTTTGACGGCTTCTCGCGAGGAGTGAGGTGCTGGCGGCGGCTCGCTCGCTGAACTGCACAGTGCTGGTGACCCTCGGGGAGCGGGGGGCCCTGCTCATCACGGAGGCGCGACCGCGCGCGCGCGAGTGTATCTTAAAATCGGGGACCCCCGAAATCGCGTGGATCTTTCCTTTGGACAATCCAGATACCCCTGTTTTGGCATTGGTCCAGCTTTCCACGTCCCAAATCCAAGCTTTTCACTGTGAGCCTGCCCCGGTTATGATGCTCAAGAGCAAACACCAGCACCCAACAAGTCGCTCAAATAATCAGGGCCACACACACACTTGACCAGGCCGCACAACTGAAGTCGATTGTGGTGCTCGGTCACAATTGCGCTGTTTGTCTTCTTGATTTTTCTATGCCTTGTGTTTTGTTGGTTTTCTCGCTTTTCGGAAACTGTGTTGCTGTTTGTTTCCTTTTCTTCCTCCTTCTGTCTCCTTCTGTTTATCTATTTGTTTGTTTCTTTGTCATCTTATTTCCTTGTTTATCTTTGTCTTGGCTCTTTCTCTTTCTGTGTTGTTGTCATTATTTTGTTGTCATCTCTTCTTCAGTTTATCTTTTTCTTTGTCTTCCGCTTTCTCTTGTGTTTTGCTCTCTCCATCTCTATTTCTCTTTCTCTTTCTGTTTCTCTCGCTCTCTCTCGCTCTCTTGCTCTCTCTCTCTCTCTCTCCCTCTCTCTCTCTCTCTTTTTCTCTCTCCCTCTCTCTCTTTTTTTGCCTCTCTCACTCACTCTTTGCCTCTCTCCCTCTCTTTCTCTCTCCGGCATACGAACATGCTGCGAAAGTCCGCAGAGGGTTCACCTGCTGAAGGTTGCGCAAGCTAAGAAACGTTAACACAAAGCGAGTTTTTGGAGGTCAACACCTTGACAGTCCGACAGAGAGTCGCTTGAGCGAAGCGAGAATCACTAAAATCCAAATTTTGTTGAGTGTCGACTCATCCAAAGTGCGCAGAGGCTTCACTTTTTGAAAGGTTGCGAAGCAGTGCTCACGGCCGGGTCAATGGGCCCGTTGCCGAGACTGCTCCGAAGCCGCTCCGAGACAGCCGTCGCGACAGAGGAGGTTTGCGCACATGCCGAAGAGTTGAATTTACGAAGCTTGATTAGGTATGCTTTGTTTTTTTGTAGTCTTGTTTGCACTCACTCACAATATATTCATATACATATATATATATATACACATATAAATATATATATATATATATTATATTCAGATAAATACATATATACATATACGTATATATGTATATACATATATGTGACCATGTAGAGGGTTCGTTTTTGCCATGGCTTGGACCGTTCGCCGCTCCCAAGTGTCGCTGAGGCCGAGGTCCTGGATGCCCGGGCCTTCCAGGCGCAGGTGGTGGACGCCACCGCGGCCGGGGACGCCTTCCGGGCGGCCTTCGCGGTGGCGCTGTCCGAGGGCCAGGCGCGGGAGGGGATTCCCGGGAGGAAGTTTTCGGGTGGAAGACGCCCGGGTGGAGAGGTCTGGGAAGGGTCCCGGGAAGCTTTCTTCTTCGGTGCGGTTTGCCAAAAAAAAAGTTAGGACTTTGACTTTGTGCCAACTAGTGGGGAATTAGATTTTCCATGAATTGAACCACAAGAAGTTAAGCTTTTAGCAGGAGAGCAGAAAGCAACCGAGCTTCTTGGGGGTTTGACGACTTGTGTAGTGAATACCCGAGTTTGTGAGAAAAATGGGGACCCTGGTAGTCTGTGGATTGAACAAATAGATCTATCTTGGGGCCGCAAGTGTTGCAAACGCGCGTTGCGCGCAGTCGCTGCAAAGCGGCCTTCGCCTCGCTAGCGCTGCAGGGGCCATTGCGGTGTCCCGCAGAGGCGGGCAGGGTTTGCTGCTTGCCGCCTTCTGCATGGCAGCACTTCGTCCCTACAGAGCGGACATATCGGAGGTGAGACACTAGGTTCCCCCCCCCCTACCCCACAGAGCGGTTCTTGGAAGCCTTCTGAGAAGCTTCGGAGCTTTGGAGAAGCTTGAGGGAAGCTTTGGTTTCCTCGAGGGTCACAGCTCTCTTGAGCATTCAGGTGCCGAGCCCAGCCTTCCGCGACGGCACGAGTGCGAGGCATTGCTGCGCACTCCCCCGGAAGTTTTACCAGAGAAGCCTGCCTCGGCATCCCTGGGCTTCGCGTCCCGCTTGAACTCCATGCGAGAGAGGCCCGGATGCTGGGAGAAATTTGCAGTGAGTGCCCCCGTGTTGCTACTGGAAGCAAACATGGGCATAAATCATATTGATAAAAGCTGACTGGCCAACCACTTCCGTGCCGAAACCGATGTTCCTCGCAGTCATGCTGATTATAGTTGAGGATCGGAGGTGACTTGATGGAAAGACAAAGCGTTGCATCTGATTCTGGTGGTTGCAATGCAATGGTTTGCATCGTGCCATGTTCATCTTGGTTTTGACCGCGAGGCTTAGCCCTGTTTCCTGTTCTTTTTGCACATGCTAGCTGTAGCTCTTGTCATGATTGGCCAGATTTGCGGCTTCTTTGTGCCAGTGACTCAAAACATCACCCCCAACATGGCGCAAGCCGCAAGCGCAGCTCTTTGTTTCGGCCGAACGTAGAGGTTGGACCTCTGGGGCGGTGCCACGGACACTTTGGGGCTCGTGGCTCGCCAGGGTCGAGTTCGAGGCGGGGCCTTAGGCGGATCTCGAGATCGATCCCGGCTGAGTGGTTCGTTTTGGAGGGAAAAAGGTCCACAGTGGGTCCCTTTGGAGGACAACAGACCAAAAGAGGGTCCTGTTTATAGGAAAACGGTTTAGAGGGTCGCGTTTAGGCAAAATGGTCCAGGTGTGTCAGGTTCCATGTTCGGTGGGAGGGTAGTTGCAGAGCTGGGACCTGTTGTGCTGTCAAGCAAAGACACCTGAAGCGAGGGACAAGGGTATTTTGGGGTCGAATCTGTCTCCGCTTGCTTTCAAGATTATCACGCATGTTAGATTGAAGGGCAAAATGCTGTGTATCCAGGCGTGGCAGCTCCTTCAACAGCATTCACAAAAGCGCATTGTCCCTTGCAGGCTTTTGTTTGTCACGCTTGCAGGACCAACTTGACCATTCGATATTGTCGATGTTCAAGTTCGTGAGGCAGTGTCACATCAAAAACATTCAATATACATCAATATACAAGGCTTGGGCTTGGCCACACTGAGGTGCACGGACAGCAGGAGAGACGCATGTGTCAACGCACACGTTGGGCGCACATTTGGTGCTTTGTCCAGTCCCCTTGCCAGTACAAGACTGAATTGTGAAAGACGGGCCAGTAGGCTGACCTTGGGGTCAGTGAGCAACAGCCTTTTGAGCTGTGTGGGCATCAGACCTTGTAGCTCCCACCAGACACCAGTCTTGTTGGTTACATGTTATTCTCACTGTCGTCGCATTTGTGCGTTGTGTTCGGTCATGTTTGGCTTTTGTTTGTTTGATTTGTGTCGCTTTGTTTCTTTTGTTTCGCTTGGAACCTGGCAACTATGGTTGTTCTTCTGCGGACTTGTGAGCCGTGGTGGGCGTGAATGGCTGATTAGGAAGATCGTGCCCTTCCCCACATTTGTCACGCCATGTCTGCTGATTCACCCAGGATCACTTCAATGGACATGTTATCATATGTTTCTTGCGCAGGAGTGTTTGGGCTCCGTGACTCGGAGGTTTTGCCGTACCGATGTACCGATTATAAATCATCCCTTTGAAAGACAGGGTCTCAAACAGCGGTCATGAAAGTCAGGTTGGTCCTTATCCGTGCGGACGGATGGAATACCAGCTAGCTCACAGACGGACCCCTCAGAATGTGTCCCACCTTTTTCAGGGCCCCAATCTCCATGTTTTCATTGACCTCCCCCCCTCCCAAACGCCCACGATCGGTTTTTCAAAAGAACGCTGGTTGAAAAGAATGTGACAAGGAATCAACCCTTAGAACACCACAAACCCCCTCCCCCCAAGTTTGTGTTGTTTTCTTCCGTTCGGTGTCCCTTGAAACTAACCTTAACCAGATACCCTAGAAACCCAGACCCATTTCACCGCGCTGTTTCGGCTCGAAGGCCTGGGCGCGGTGTACTTCAACTTCCCGCAGCACCTGGCGGGCCTTTCGCCCAGTGAGGTGCTCGCCGCGCTGGCGGCGGCGAACTTGAAGGCGCCGGGAGGGAAGGGAAAATGAGGTTTCGTTTTGGGTGCATTTTGCCAAGGGATCTTAGGACTGTAACTTTTGGCCAACGAATGGGTTTTCCATTAAGCCACTGAAAGTTAAACTTTTAGTAGGGGAGCAGAAAGCAACCGAGGTTTGGGGCCTGACTGTTGTTGTGGGGTGAAAATGGGGTTTTGGGGCCATTGTTTGTGTCAAACAAGACACCTTTTGCGTAATGGAAAAAATGTCCATGCTGTCACCATTGGTAAACACACCCCTGAACGTAACATGGGAATATTATTGTCCAGTTGTTTTGCGTGATTGAAGTTGAGTGCCAGATGAGTAGGTATGACGCCCCCATCCACAAACCTGACTGTTTGGACCATTTTTCTCGAGCGGTTTCTCTAGTTCCATGAATGAAGATGGGAGGATAGGCCAGTAACCCCCTTTCCCAGTTGACTTGATCATGGACAAGGCAAGTGGGGCAGGTATTGCAGAGGGATTTGTGTTGCCAACAGAGATTACATGAAGTGAGTTCAGCGCCGGGCCACCGACAAACAGCTTGCGAGGGCTGCAAAGCGCCTTCCTTGCTTCCACGCTGAGGTGCATCACAACATTCGCAAAAGTTGAGGTCGATGCCTCTGGAAGGAACAGCTTGATTTCACCTCATATAGAAGATTTGACAAATACACCAAGAGGAAAGAAGCACTCAGCGGGAGAGATTCATTCACCAAAGAAACCCAGATCCAAGATTGGCAAACCCAAGTCCTTCCCTGCATGGCCGATGTATCGAATACGATGTGCGTTGGAGCAACCCAGATTGCATTCAACATGTTCCTTCTGGTAGGTGTTGATTATCCAGCAGCCGCTATTTGCTTTGGAGAACGCCCTTGGATGTCCCCAGCATGGGGAGAGTATGAGTCAGCTGGGAAGGCAGTGAAGAAGTGGGCTAGGACTGCGTGTTTCTTTGTTTTTTCTCGGACAGAGGTTTCCTATGCAGACCACATGTAAACAAATCGGATCCATGCAGGAAACGTTGCTGCGTTGTGTGGGGTTTGACTTTATAAACTTGGGGGTTTGCGTGTTCCAAAGCTGGTGAACCCCACTCATGGGACGATCATTGCTTCCCTCCAGGCAGAAGGCACTCCCAATTCTTTGGGCACACCTTGGCCCATTTTTGCAACGAGTTGGGTGGGCACTCCCGGGGAGAACTCCCACATCATGTCGACAGTTCCGGTGGATTCCTCGTAGATTGCACTTGGCAGCAAGGTTTCCCTCTCATTTCCAAAGGCTGTGGTCAACATGTTTTCCTTTTGTTCTTGGGTTCCTTGTTTGTTTCTAAGGACAATGTATTTTGGGGGTCTGGAGACAAGACACAAATCCACAAAACTGGGGCATCAACCCGCGACCAGGCAGGAGGGATCGCTTTGCGGTTCCCAGAGTCCATGCGCCTGGGCGCCTTCACGAATCCGGACGCCAATGTGCGACGGCAAGCGGCGACCCGGCAAGCGAGGAAGACGCAAATCATTATTTGCTTATGATAAAATTATACATATGCAATACGCAAAGCATTATTTATGATTATGAATTATACCTTTAAAAATATGCGTATATATATATATATATATATACATTTGCTTATTTGTTCGGTGTCTATCACCCCATTCATGGTTCAATCCTTCCTCCTCAGGACTGTGGCGGAAAGATGTAGGGCTTGCTGAGCTTGACTTTGTCAGAAAGCCAGGATCGGGATGTGTGTGTGTGTACGTATGTGTGCTGACACTCTTCTTGTGTTCGATGGACAAATCGCCTTCAGTATTCTAGAAAACGGTTTTGATAGGTGTTTTTGGATTTCACCTGCTCTTTCTCCTGTTGGTCCTTTCTTGGCATGTGTTTTTGTACTCGTTTAATGTTTTAGCAGGGGTGGATCCACACAATGAAAAGCCACGCCCGAACTGTTTTCTAGAAGTAGGTACTAGTATGCTTGAATCAGGATGGTTCAACTCGAGAGCTAGCAAGTCCTGCCTCCAGGTAAGACAGCGGGTTCATACACAAAATAGTATTAAGATGCGTGAGTTGCCAAAGTGGTTCATCCCTGAAAAGACTCGCCCTCAAATGAGCCAACAGCTTTCATGGTATAATAAGTACAGCATACACACCCCTATATTCATACATGATACATTGCTAGTTTTGTACAATGGAGCTTGAGTGCGGAGTACAGCATGGAACTTCGCATCAAACGAACTTGGAGCTTTCGGCTTGGCTCGGACAGGTGGACTTGACGATCCAGGGCTGTGCTTGGGCAGATGCGCTGGGAGCTGAAGAGGTGGTGGTGCCTTTGACTGGGAGCTGAAGAGGCGGTTTTCGTCGCTTTACAGGTCATCTACTGCATAATTATGGTCATCTACTGTATATGGTATCTTCATGTCTGCAGTTTTACAGGTCATCTACTGTATATGGTATCTTGTCTGCACAGTTTCTGGACCAAATAGCATAGCTGTTTGTAACCGCTGCTCGCTGCCCGCCGTGGCAAGGCTGAAAAGGACCACGAGAGCAATGCGGGCTTGAGCACATGATGCTGCCAGGAGCTTGAACTCGAGCCGGCCAACGAGCGACGGGCTCGGGAGCCAGGCGACAGCTGGGGGGTGGGGGCTTGGGGCTGGCTGGGAGGCCGGCACCGCCGGCACTTTCCTGAAGATCCTCGTCCTTCACGTCTTATCGACCCGGCGTCGATTGGGCTGCGAACAGCGTGCATTTGCTGGGACTCGGCGGTCTTCAGTCTCAATAGGCTTATCCGCGCAGTCGCGTGCCGCCTCCGCACACTCTTAAAAGAGCGCCGGAGAAGGAAGACAAGGGGCTGAAGCTTGGTGGAAGCAGGGCAGCCGGACTATGAGTTTTGTGGGCGGCAGCTTGGAAGATCCCAATGATCTAAATAGGGATCTGACCGCTTCCCGGCCCTGAGGGCTGAGGCAAATGGGGTTCTTCGTCTTGCCTGTTTCGCATAGGTAGTCTATCGTTGGTTCGGGGATGTGGGCCCAACCATTTGTTGTCGCTTGGTTTCGGTGTGTGTTTCACGCGCGCCAAGACTTGCCCAGTCCCGATTTGTCCCACATCGAGTGAAGCAATAGCTTTCATTGCCACAGTCCCCACTGCCAAGGCGTAAATCTCCAGCACCCTCAACCCTACGCTTGGATTAGACGCAAGGCTTTTGGTTGGCGCGCCTTGTTTGCCTTGTCTATTGTACAGGGCTGTGTCCAAAACTAGCTTCTGGCTGACGAGCATTTTTTTCAGCCATATAGAGCCAGCCAAGAGATGGCAATGTGGACTCCTGAAGAGAATCCAGGTCATTGCTCTTTTGCTGTCAGTCCCAGTTATCCACAGACTCGGTGGCCAAGTTGATGTTCGCGTTTGGCACAGGCCCTGTGATCCAGTCGGCTATCGCATGCTCTAGCCCGTTTCAACATGGGCAGGTCAGCTTGGGATCAACCAACTCAAAAAGGATTCTGACCCACCTGCAGCCGATTCTCAACTTATCAACAGGTTGCTTCCCACAACTCTGACACGTCTCAATGCCTACTGGGTTTTGCCCTAACCCTGTCCCACCCACAGACTCGGTCAACACTCGCCAGCAAAGTAAAACGACGCTACAATTTAAGATGTTGAGCCTTTCAGGCGACCATGAACATTCCCCGTGTTTTGTTTCAATCGTTTCAGGCTAGGTGAAGTCATCCTTACTAGGGCTGGGTGTGATTTTTAATGTACATGTTCAGTCACGAAAGCCTAGGCGTTGTGGCATTTGTGTCAGACAAAGGCCCGTTGTATCCCCAAAGGGAAACAACAGCAAATTGAGCCAGTGCTTCCGGCCAATGTAAAGCAGTTCAGGCGCCTGCGTGGGAACCGACCACTACTCTGGGAATTCTTGATGGGATGAGTTTTTCTCAGCTGTGATCTAGGTTCTTGGCTCCAAGTGGTCGTATTTGTTTTGTGGTTTGGCAGGTCATGTTTTTGCAAGCAGTGAGCACGGATCGAGTGCAAGTGTATGTGAGCAGCAGTGTTCAGCAATGAGGACTTCAGATGTTTGCCTTGGTCGAAGGTTTGGCCGCAATTCGATGGCTATGACTACCAGCTTCAGATTGACTATACCCACGCCTGGTCAACAACCGTGGCGTCCCTGCGTGCCTTGGTCACACGTAGAATGGCTTGTCAGCATCAGTAGTATAGTTTGTTCACCGACAATGCTGGTAGTCTACTTTTATTTTGGGGAGGAGATGGGGGACAAATCATTTGGGAACCTCGCTTCAATTTTGCGCTCGGGTCTCAGGTCATGAGCAGCAACACCTGAAGCTGGTATGTAGGGCAGACGTCGGTGCTAAGTGTTGCGAGGTAGACACGCGTACGGGATCTAGCGTCAGCTGTTAGATTGGTTCTGCCCACACCTCCTGCTTCTTCAAAAACTCAGCGAATGCCTATGGCCCAGGCGCAGTGTTATGCTTGAGATCTGCCGTGGGGTGATAGGGCTCGTGCTCTGGACTCGTGCAGGCTGACTTGCACACGCACGGTGGCAAGAGTGGGCGGTTCCAAATGGCGTGAAGCGTTCACGCTGGGACTCCTTTCAGACACAAAGAGTTTTTTTTTTTTCCGCCAGAAAGATATTCTTGCTTGTTTGAACAGAATCGGGAAGTGCAGTGGATGATTTATGGACGCAGTTGGAAGTGTCTAAAGCGCACATGTTCCATGCAGGAACGCTGATGACAAGCAGAGTCCGGTTCAATACCTGTGGCTCATCCTGTTCCGCGCAAGACTGATGTGGGTCTGGGTCAAGATAAAACCACCTGGGGACCGCAGGTTTTAGTCTTTGGTTCCGTTTACCAGGGTTCCATTTTGGGTACGATCTTTTTTGACCCATAGCCATGTGTTCTTCATGAGTTCCATCCCGTTTCTCAACATATCGCACACGATGGCTCCTTCCCAAAGCCTTTCATCAGTTGCTTTGTTGACAGAACACGGCTACCACCATGAAGAAGCTATAAACTGGGTATGTGTCAAATGGGGGACCCTAAAAGCATCGGTTTTCACTGTGAGCATTGTGGTTTCCTTTTCAACAAAAAGGCACTCGGGAACTTTCTGGACTACGTTCGTGTATGTGCGCGGCTAGGAGAGGTGCTGGATAGCGCGCCCTGCCGAAGCAAGAAGGTCTCCTACGAGTTCAAGCCCACGGACGCCCTCAATGCTTCGGAGTTGGATCTCATTTTGGGATTGTCTTAAAATATGAGGACTCCCCAGAATCTGTGGTCCCAACGAGGGGATGTTACCCCAAAAGAAAACACCAACTTGGGCATGTGCGCCGTGGTCAATATTTTGCCAGGATATGTTTGCTCTTGAGGGCAGGAAACAGGATCCCGCTGGTCGAGTTGGGTCGATGGATATGCGGCCACTGCACAAGTTGCTCTTTTTCGTCCTGGCTGATGTTGGAGAACTGCACGAGGTAGGAGAGATCTCAAGAACGTCTCCTCAGCAAATTACAGGCTTGCGAACCGTGCCTGTTGAAGACGCCAATCGCAAGGATGCTTGGATAGTATGATTCAATGTCCATTTCAACTTACTCCCTGGATATAAAGCTGATAGAGATCCCTGGACGGCTTGGGCGTACCTGCACCTGAGATCAGATGGCATGCTGCCAAAGATTGCGATTTGTGCAGGTAATGTTCAACTCATAATGCACTTGCTCACAGGGCACATTGACTTTGGTGCATTTTGCTTGCATGTTAGGACTTTCACTTTTTGCCAACTGATGGGTTTTCCAACAAACAGCTAAACAAGTTAAACTTTAAGCAGGGGGGCAGACTTCGCAGCCGAGTTAATGTCTTGAGCAACCTGAAGTTTCATCAACTGAGGGGGCTTCAACCTCTGCCTTGCACCCCGGGGCTCTTTTTCCGACTTCGGCCTGAGCCAATCCCTTCGCATCCCATCCCCCGTAGTCCCCGTGTTGCCTTCTCAGTCGGGCTCAAAACAAGTCAAGTGATTTGATATCCCAACAAGGCTGGGCCCTTCCACACATCCACTCCGGTCAACTTTGCCATTCGCCTTCCAAGTGCGGCGATGTGTCCCACGGCTTTTGGACCCCACGCCTAGCTGGACTTTTTCCATGAGAACTTGCGCCGGGCAGATAGTCTGTCTATTTTGTGTCTCAAGACCCAACTTGAAGCTTTACCAGAGATATAGCTATGGAACCCCAAATCACAGCCCCACCATGAATGAACCCCGAGTTCAATTCAGCCCTTCCGGGGAGATTTTGTGGATGGACAAAATCCTGCACCACCCAAGACATCGTGGGAAACCATTGTGCGTATTTACAGGGGATCATATCATTCTAGGGTTTCTGTGCTAGCCCCAGCAGGTCCCAGCCGTTTGCAGGACGCGGTGAGTCGCTTCTCTTTGGTGCCCAGCACCGGCGCAGCCCTGCTGCTGTTGCAGGAGGTGGACCGCGCCAACCTGGGGCGCAGACCTCAGCCTGGTGGGCCTCGGGCAGCTAGAAGCTGTTGTAAAGTTATGCACGGGGCACTAAAGAATCAAGAACTTACAACGGTTTGCTGCTGCCTCCGCCACTGCTGCTGCTGTTTCTGCTGTTTCTTCTGTTTCTGCTGTTTCTGCTCTTTCTGCTGTTTCTGCTGCTGCTGCGGCTGCTGCAGCCAGCTGCGGCTGTAATGGTGCTACCTTATCTACCACTGCAACTGCTGGGATGCTGAGTCACAAAATCTGAATGACCGGTAGGGCACACACCTGCCCAAAGTGGCCGAGAGATTTTGCCAGCCGCTGATATGATGAGCGTATATATATATGACGGGAGATTGGGAAGCTGGGATGAACAGAGTTTCCCTTGTTTGGGGCAGGGGTACCATATTTTCAGAGCTCTCTCAGGATGAAAGTTCAAAGGCGACCATTTGTTCAAACCCGTGCAGACCCGTTTCTCATACATATCCGCTGGTTCGTCTAGTGAAGGGGTGTTACCCGCCATGAAGGTGTTTGGATTGGGCATGCGGCATGCCTCATTTGAGGTGTGCGAGATATTACTCTTCATTCTTTGAGCCCAAGATGTTTCCTTCGGGTTAAAGTCGGAAACCGGGGACATTTGTTGTCACCTACCAGGTGGCATTGTTGGCAAGTGAGCCTGAGCCATTTGCTCACTCGTTGGGGCTGGGCTGGAAAGCTTTTGGTATCCAAAGCCACTGCTTCCATGCGCTGCCCCATTGAACTGGGGCGGGGATTTGTAGAGGGTTCCCCACCCATGAGACTTTTGGTGGGTGTCATGTCCGTTTTCAGCGGAGTACTTTCTTGGCCCGTTCCTAATTTCATTTCTTCAGTCTGGCCTAGGCTGACACTGGACGTGGGGCACTTGCTCATGGCAGGGGAGAATCCTGCCCAGAGCGTTGCCATGGTAGGCCCGGATGGGGGTGGGCCCCACGCGTTACGCGCTCTTGAAGTGGATTTGGCCGGCGTGTGGCAAATGAATCAACGGGCCAATGGGAAACTTGCATATATGCTGTAGGACATGATTTCTGGCTTGTGTGCAACTCTGCCAGCTCGATATCATTGGACGAGGCTAAGTGGCCTTTCCATGCTGAAAGTTTGTTCCACCTTCTTGTTCAGCATATCTTATTTCAGTTGTTTCGCTTTTCTCCTGTCGGAGCAAACTGCGTGACGCACTGCTGGACTAACATGTCAGTATCAACCGGGCGGACTCACCAATCATGACAGTTTCCTTGGAGTCCGCTCAGAACGTCGCCATTTGGAGGGCCCTTTGCTGCTCAGGTGCTGCAGGCAAGCTATTTGGCATCCATTTGCCACTTGGCAGCAGCAAAACAAAGCAGACGCTCTGAAATGAGTTCTGTCACCAGAACACGCATGGCGCCATTTCATCTAAATGCATGCGCCTGTGTTTGGGTTACCACGACTGACGGATGCACACATTTATGAGAGCGGTACTATTCCACAAAGAAACATGGAAGCACGCAGGTGCCGCTTAGAAGGCTACTTTCCTGCTGGAAAGGATGTACTTCCATGTTTCTTGGAGGGAGGGTATCCATCGTTCGTGGTAAGCGGTACGAGGAACACAGGATTAACAAGCCTTTGCTTGGTTCATAGGGGTGGTGTCGACAAAGGTACTCCTTCACCTTTGTGGTGCATCCCCTGACTAATCTGCCGGGTTGATTTTCTCAGGGTTGTGAAAACGATCTGGTGCTACTTTCTGTGATACCAAAGGAGGTTCCCCTGAGTGAAAGGTTGTCATAGGAATGACCTAGTAATTATCACAGAAAGGGTGATTTTCCGCAGCCACGCAACCAACAACAAATTTGCCTCAAGGAACGATGGCCACTCCCGTTTGGGCGCTGAAGACGGTTTGATCTTCGGGTCGGTGCACGGGAGAGCGGCTCTGGAGCTGGTCTTCTGGCTGCAGAAGACCCGATATGCCGGCAGCATTTACTTCGACACCTTCCCGACCAATGAGGTGGGCTCAAACTTGGGTTGAACAATAGCAGCAACAAAATGATGCTTGTTATTCAACGTAAAAGAGACGTGGTTTGTTTCTGCAACCAACAAAAGCAAATGTTGTAGTATCACAAGGGGACCCGAAATAGGGGCTCCTCAACCAATAGCACTTAGCAAAGACTTCGAAATCAAATGGTGTAGAGAGACGCCCAGGAAAGGGTGTTGATCCCTGGTTTGGCTGGCTGTTTCATTTGAAGCTGCTCGGGCCAGAGGGGAGGCCTTGAGCAGATTGGGGAATATGAATCCTTGGGCGGGAGGCGTCCGAAAATCCTTGTCGGTGGTGTTTTTTGTAAGTATTTGCTGCTGCGGCTGCTGTCTTGTCTGCGTGTGCGTGTGCGTGTGTCTGTGTGTGTGTGTGTGTGTGCAAAAGTGCCCTTTTGGGCTCTATGTTGAAGGACTGTTGCTTTCTCTCCAGCTTGGAGCGCCCGCCTTTTTTCACACCCATTCTGCTGTGCGGATTTTCGAGGGTAGGTGAAGGTCGTCCCATTCTATCCCCTCGTGGATTCGGGGCAAACGGCTGGTATTCGCAAGCCCTGCAGGACCCAGTGCGCGAGGCCGAGCTGAACATCCGCCAGTTCCAAAAACTCGCAACTCGGAGCCAAGGGCAGCGTGGTCGCCTTGGCTACGGCGTGCAATTGAGAAATGATGGGTTGCGGACTCGTGGCATATTATATATATTATACATATAAGTATATATTATACATATGTATATATATATATATATGTCACGATGTTTCCCAATCTCCCATGTGTGCATGCCTGAGATCGCTTTGATTGCATGGAAGTGGGAAACAACCATCAAATGCATTGACCGACAAACACTGGCAGGTGTACTGAGTTAGGCGCAGTGTGCGTTGCGTGTAAGGTGCACTGATTCCAAGGACACTCAGGCAGTTGTCCGCACTTGCATGGAGTTCATCTAGGTTGATGTTTGCTTCCGCCACCTCTGACCCCAGCTAGGGGCCCAGAAGAACTCTTTTGGACGCTCACCAACATCATCGGTCTCCTCTCAGCAACAGCTGATTGTTTGGAATAATCTTAGGGACTGAACAAGTGCAAGCATTGTTATTAGTCCATAAGCATGAAGTGATTTGGTGTAATCGTATCCCATCACGCCAATCAGTTTTTGTTGTTGGCCCACGTAGCACCTTCTTGACTTTGCCTTGCTTGAATTTTAGCGGAATCAAACAACGATAAGCTCAACAGAAGTACTGCGCTGTACATAATTGCAATTGAGTTGTAGGATGCTTCAAAGCCCATTTAAAACACGATCGTAGGAGCAAACATGATGTTTCACTGCTTTCAGCAAGCCCTAAGTGGGTATCTGGCAAAATGGGGGTCCCCGCATAAATGATGGTTTTCATCGGGCTTCCCTTAGAAAGGGTAGCCTCAAACAAGATATGCCCCGTGTGCCCAGGCCAAAGTAGCACAAACCTCTGGCCGCTCTATTGACCCGCTGCTGCAGCAGCATGACGCTCTCGGGGTCTTGGAGCTGATGGAAGCGTGAAAATGAGCCGCGCGTTGTTTTTTTCCAGCTGTCTAGTGACGTGCGCAGTTTGAAAGAGTTAGTATGTTTGTGCGCTTGATTGCTTGCCGCCTTCTTACATGCTTGCCTGTTTGTTGTTTGTTGTTGCTTGCTTGTCGCTCGTTTGTCGCCTTTGCAAAATTCATTGGCCAGCGCAGTGGATTGAGGATATGTGGCGCTTACATCTCACCACGAGCCCACGGCAGTGTGACCTGTTTGTTTGTCTGCTTGTCTGTGCCCTGCATGCGTCTTTGCGCTGTTCAATGTCTCTGTTTGGTTCTGTGTTTGTTTGCTGGCTTTCTTGCTCGCGTGCTTGCGTGCGTGTTTGTTTGTTTGTTTGCATTTGTTTGCGTTTGTGTGTCTGTCTGTCTGTCTGCCTGCCTGCCTGCCTGTGCCTGCCTGCCTGTGCCTGCCTGCCTGCCTGCCTGCCTGCCTGTCTGTCTCTTTGTCTCTTTGTGTCTTTGTCTCTTTGTCTCCTTGTTTCTTTCCTTGCTTGCTTGCTTGCTTGCTTGCTTGCTTGCTTGCTTGCTTGCTTGCTCGCTTGCTTGCCTGTTTGACTTTCTGTTTGTTTTGTTTGCTTGTTTGTTTGTTTGATTGTTTGCTCGCTCGCTCACTTGCTTGCATGTGTGTTTGTCTGCCTGCCTGGCTTCCTGTCGGTCTATCTGTCTGTCTGTCTGTCTGTCTGTTTGTCTGCCTGTCTGTCTGCTTGTTGGCTGGCTGGCTGGCTGGCTGGGTATGTTGGTTGGTAGCCAAGCTATGTATAGGTACTCGTAGGTCGGCAGGAACGTAGGTGGGTAGGTGGGTAGGTGAGTAGGTAGGTGGGTAGGTGGGTAGGTGGGTGGGTGGGTAGGTAGGTTGGTTGGTTGGTTGGTGGGTGGGTGGGTTGGTGGGTGGGTGGGTGGGTGGGTGGGTGGGTGAGTGGGTGGGTGGGTTGGGGTTGGGCTGTGGGGTTGGTTGTTTGGTTGGTTGGTTTGTCATTGTTTGCTTGTGTGTTTGTGTGCGTTGCTTGTGTACTTGCGATTGTAGGCTCCCTGTTTGATGACAGGAGCCCAGCTCTGGTGTCATCTGGAAACATGCATTGCTTGCAGAATAGAACATGCAGCAATGCAGCCCCTCTCTGCTAGCACAATTGCGATCCGTCCCGCAGGTATGGCGACGTTCACATCGTCAAGCGATGCACTTTGGCATGCATTTGAGGGAGTGCAGTGACCAGGCGCCTGCTCAGTGCTGTAGCTATGTTGCGGGCGGTGCTGAAAATTATCCTATAAGACAGCTTGCGACCATGTGGCCACTTGGCATTGTGAAAGCATGTCCTGCGATCTTTTCAACATCGAGCTCCGGAGCTAATCTCCCCAAGACAGCTCCCTATGTCCGGGTCAACGCGTCCAGCCTTCATTGGTCACTAAGGCCGGGGCTACCTCTATGCCAAGTTCGACTCTGAGACCGCGGCGCAATTGGTGCTGCGGGCGGCGCGGCAGAAGCTGGCGGTGGCCGGACGGGAACTCTCCGTGGAAGTGGCCACAGCCAGGAAGAAGCGACTCGGAGTCTGCCAAAATGTACGGGAATCTCACTAATTTAGAACACGAGCTCACCATGATGTAGAGATCCATAGAGGTCCTATTCTCATTGCAGGTGTTGGACATATTATAGATGTTGCTGATGAATGCTGCGCATCAAAAGCAGACATCGTTTGCAGCTTGGGGTCAAGGGTAAGCCGCATCCAAACAAGTGTCCCCTTCAAAAGTGGTGCCAGGAAACGGGGGGAAACAACAAATGGACAGACTGAAAACTCGAGCACGATTGGAGCGCCCTGGGAAATTCCTTCTTGTACTGTTCACGAGCAGCGCAGGTGCTATGACAATGAGTCCCTTCAATCTGAACCCTCCTTTGTGCTTTCTGTTCGTCCCAGTTTCATTGTGACATGTTGGTGAGGCTCAGAGTCTGACGTTCAAGCCGAAACATAGAGTATGTTGCATGTCATAGCGGTTGTGTTGTTGGCTCACACTTCCCCAAGGCTCTAGCTTGGGGGCACGCTCGACAAAAACAAAAAACGGACGTTGAGCCAGACTTGCTTGCGACTGACCTGGTTGGAAGGTCCTTCGTGTTGCGCCAGCGAAACACTTGCGACAGCACAGTGCTCCATGGATAGGAAGTTATCACAATTTAGTCGACATCAAGCGGGATGAGCAATTCGAGCATAGACGACTTCCATGTGGGCCTCATCTCGGAGTAGCCTTACAAGCTTAATTTGCCTACTAGGAGCTGTGGGTTGCTACGCACGAAACTCAGTCATTGGGGGACTCGATGAGCATTTTTTCGAGGCACTGGCACTGCCAAATTGATGAAGCCTACCCGCCCCGGGTGCGGCGGCTGCAAGATGGTGTCGTGCTGATTCAGTGGCATGGCAGCATAGAGCCGTGAGTTGGGAGGGTTGGGCCAGCGCCGAACTTCTTGAAGCGAGGACTGAACTTCCAACTCTTGTTCCTTGAACCATTCAAAATCTTTCCAAAGCATTTGGCTGTGAGTGTTTTTTGGGGTACCCTTTGGGGCTGGTTTGAAGGAGCCCATTTCGGGAGGCCTATGTGGACACGTCACCGGGATATCTTGGAACCATGTTTTGGCTCTGACTTGCTCGCAACCCAAGGCACATGCTTTCCATGGCGATGCAGTCGCGGGTCGTCCAGGAGGTTTTCGCTTTGGGTGCTTCGCCTCAAGGCTTCTACACTCCGCAGTTTGGCGATCGGGAGATGAAATTGCGGACTTTTTGCCTTGGAAAACACTGGGACACTTGGCACCAGCGTCGTTTTGTCGGTTCTGAAGTCTAGTTTCAATGCTTCGCATTTCAATCAACGGGACTTCGACTTAACGACATCAGACAATCGAACGGCCCATTTTCGTCGCTTCCTGTGCCCAGGACACGCAGAGCCATGCTTATGGAGCGTTGCGTTCGGACATCGACCATCGAGCTGTGCTGCCTTTACCGCCCTTTCTCTCCGCGTTGGCCCAGGGCGTGCTCTCCGATTTGGATCAGAAGTGCAGCTTGGCTTGGCAGAGAGCCAAATGATGGCAACATGCTTGAGGGTGATGGAATGACGATTGCATTCCCCACAAGTGGAATTTGAACCTGATGAATTTCCCCCTCCTCTCAGCCGGAATGTGCTGTGAAACTTTGTCGACTCCTTTGCTTGCCATTTGCGTGATTTCTGCGTTTGCACCTGTACTGTTGCAGGGGCATTACGCATTGCCCTGATTTGTAGTCGCTTTGATGCTAATTTCGCGGACACCTCAGGAGAATAAGGTCTGGTGATATCCCCAACTGCAAGCGGTGCTCTTGTTAGTGCTCGCCGCAGTCGCAGAACCTCGTGGAACCCTCGTGGAACTCTGGTGCAACCCTGGTGGAACCCTCGTGGAACCTTACCTCAGGGCCGCCCCGGACCACCCCGCAGCCTATCTGGGCTGAGACCCCAAAGCTTCCAGCTGTTGGGGAATTTTATGCCTCTCCCCATGTCAAAATCAAGACCCCCCCTATGAAGATCCTTTGGGGCGTTGCCTTGGAGATGCCCGTTCTGTGGCCCAGGTTGTTGCTTTCTGCTTTGCTTCCGGTTTGATAGGCGTCCATTCAATTCCCTTTCTCACTGTAAGGACCCTTGTTCAACATTGCGATATCTAAGCGAGGGGCTTTCGGAGCGGGACTGCACCACGACTCCTGGAACTCATAGATTTAGTACTCAATCGACTCCGGCTAAATCTTGTTTTGGGCATGGATTAGTAAGGATGACTGGCTTTGGAACAAGCTGATCGTGCCATGGGGGAAGCGATCCGAAAGAAGGGAGGAAGCGAATTGGCCTTGCGACGCCACATGAAAAGGGGTCAGTATGACAATGATTTAGCGTGCATGCAAATAGTCCGCTACTTCTTTTGTTCTTGTTGTGTGTATGTGGCGTGGCAACATTCCTATTAGATTCCTATTTGTAGCTGACCAGACCTACACACACACACACACACACACCTTCATGACAGTCCTTCTCATTCGCGCCAGGCGGCGTGAAGATGTTTCCGGATCTGCAGCCAGACACGTGCATCGTGAACCACTATACCTCTGAGGGCTCTTTGGGGCTTCATGCGGACCTCGACGAGAGCGAGAGCCTCGAACAAATTGGCCTGGGCGAAGGTGGTGGAGAGGAAGGTGCTTAGTGTTGACCCCATATTCACCAACCAACCTCTTTATTGCTTGGTGGCTCCCAGCCATCCCCTTAGCTTTTAGTTTTTTTGTGTTTAGTGGGGTTTTCCATTTAGCCCACTAAAGGTTAAACTTTTAGGGGGGATCTGAGGACAGCTCAGATTGACAAGGTTCGGGTCGGGGCCGCTCCGAAAGTGTTGAACCCCCACGAAAAAACCAGGGACACCCCCGCATTCCTTCATGAACGGTTTGTGAACTGAAGATCTGAAGGTCCCCGGCTCGATCCCGGGTCTCGGCATGTTGCTCCAGTGAGTAGGCGGAACTCGGAACTATTTTTTGGCTGGCAAGAAACTTACGAGGAACTACTTTTTGGCTAGCCAAAGAACAGCCAGGTGTTGGGGGATCCAGCCGCACAATGGATATGGATAGGGGAGGCTTGATGGAGCAGTTGCTTTGGCTCAAGGGTCATTGCTTTTGGCTCATGTCAGTGGATCCAACCCACAACAAAGATACGCAAGCGCCCACCACGGACCCTGCTGTCTGCCCAACGACTGTGCGCTTGTGAGCCGTGTTTGCATACGGTGAAGCAATTGCTACTGTTGAGTCTGCCTTGCTTGTTTTGTTACTGGCTGCAGAAAATGATGCGTGACTCGACTGGAGTTTCATCATTCGTTACCCATGCTGCTCCAGTACTACGTGACGGAGCGCCAAAAACAACACCCCTCTTGAAGTGTTGGTTTGTTTCTCGCATTTTTCATGCAATGATAGCAGGACAACTGAACATGCGGCTAATTTGAGTTAAGGCAAGCCGGAGAAGCGAGCGCTGTCACTGGCTAGTGAAATCTGTACGGAGTCTAGGATGTTTGCACTAGCCCACTTTCAACAGAAATGGGTGTTCCCAATCAGGGTCCCACAGAAATGGCTGTTTTACCACCGACCAGGAATGACAAAACGAGGCGAGGAGAGGAACAGGCACATTCCCACCTTGTGGCACCAGCCAGTGGAGGCAGGCCCTTTGTTGGATCAGACCTGTTTCTCGTTGCCGAAGCAGGCTTAGGGAAGCCCATGGAACCCATTGAAGCGTTCCAGGTGCTCTTTGATCGCCGGTGTGCCGGTGGTGTCCATGTCCTTTGGCTGCAGCTGCCGCTTTTTGTATGGCGAAGACGCTGTGCTGTTGAAGCGACGTGGCCGCACAAGATCGGCAGTGGCTCATAAAATTGACAAACCACTTGTGGATCTCTCTGAGGGTGCCCTTTTTAAAAGGACAACCGCAGTTCTTGCGGTCTCCCTATTTCGGACACGCACCCGGAACTGTACAATGGTTCGGATATACAATCCATTGGGGAATTTAGTTATGAAACCTCCATTGGCTGATGTGACCCTTGCCATTGCCATGTGGTCGTTGGGTGGCCACAAGCCTGAACGAGGTTTGCTGTTTGGAAGTGTTTGGGAGAAGGAGCCTCTTGCTGACACAATATTACCGATTGTTTGTTGCTTTTGATCATGGAGTGAGCCATGCTTAAAGCCTACGAAAATCACTTTACTCGACAGGAGTAGGCTGCCACCATCCATTTGTACAACACTCTCATAACCGATAACCCCGAAGTTGGTACCTGCGATAGGTGCTGACAGGTCTGATTTCCGCGTGTTTTCGCGGCCTTTTTCAAGGGAGTGGTGTCCCACTCTACGGAAGATCCGGAAAACTCGGGATTTGGGACCTCATGAATTGCCGAGCTTTGCGTCGGCCGGAGGTCTGGGGACATCTTCATCTTTGGCGGCCCAGCACGGCGGCTGAGCCACGGAGTGGCCAAGATCTTCCCCAACACCACGCCCAAGAAGCTGCAGGAGGCGTCGTTATCAGCGGTTCAGTCGGCGATTTTGTTTCCCTTCCTGTGTTTTGTCCGTTGTTGGCCACAGCAAATGGATTGTTCTTTGGGGTGGGTGTTCCTTGTTGGCCCAATTGTAGCCAATGTCCAGTTTAGCCTTTGATTTCCAGGTCCTTTGATTTCCAGTTCCGAGCCCGGGGTTGATCCGAGTCTAGCAAAGCCTGAGGGTTTTGGGTTGGCTTTCCGCGGTCCAGCCATATTCTGCCAGGGTCTTGGAAACAACCCTGTCCCAATTCGGCTGCATGGGGTAAAACAAAACTCACTTCGCCCATGATGTGACAGCACACACACACATATATATATATATGTATGTTATTGCATTAAACGTTCTTGGGAGGGATGTGGCCATGCCAGCACACCTGGTACCTGGTTGGATCAACCGGGGGATGTCTTGTTATTAAGACCAATTTCTCATCGTAACCTTTTGTCCTGGTACTGGACAACACCTGACCTGCCTGCTGGTTTTGATTTTGAAGTTGTGCACTTCTTGCTGCTTCCTGCTGCTGTGTAAACGTCGGATTATTGATTTATCAGTCGGCAAGCGTGAATTCAGTTTTTTACCAGTTTGCCAGCAGCACGGAGCGATGATGATTTGCCTCCGACAAATGGATATGATCTCGCATGGAAAGGAACAGCCACTCTTTCAAATGATCGCAAGGCTTCTGAACCTTACTTGTCGGTCAGTTGGTCGACATGCTCTAGCAAGAGGGAAGACATGCATGCCTGCAGTTTACTTTGCTTGTTCCCCATTTTGGAACAAATTCTTGCAGCATCCAAGATATTTTGGGGCTTGCATGAGGAATACCTTGCTGATCCATGCGAACACAGCACAAGAGGCTGTCAAGGAAGCGCTTTGGCATGGCACCATGGATCCATATAGCTGTTAGGATATTGTGACAATGTGTTCAAACACGACGAGACATGGGGACCCATGAGGGACAGAACATCACTCGCTCAAAATTTGAAAGTTTGTACCTAGCTGCGGATTCCTGTCTCAGAGTGCTCCAAGAGTCATACACGAGTGCACCAATGGACTCTACTGGTGGGATATCCAAATAGCTGGCTAGATGCTTACCTCTTAAAAACACATTTTTTCAACTTTTTGGGTAACATGGGCTATATGCGCTATATGTCTGTAAAAGATTAACTTCCCCAGGGCTTGGAGTTTTAAGGGGTAAGGATGTTTGCTGTCTCAACTGTGAGTTGCTAGTCGCTGAGCTCTGCCCAGCGTTTCCATTTCGCCAGGTCCTGCCAGCTGGACGACTGAACTTGACCTTCCGGCAATCCTGATCACGCGCCCGCGTCCTGACGCTGGTCCCCGGACACTCGGCTTTGATTCCCGCAAGGATCTTTTTGTGTTTTCAATGGCACCGTGTTCCCCTTTGTGTTTGGGTTCCCCACTAGAAATTGTGAACTCCAAAAAGGCCTCCCTTTTTATATATATAATATATATATACATATATCACGCCACTGGCCAAGCATGAGGCAAGGCATTCCTCTGAAGGTTGACTGCCAACGCGCCCAACTTGGCTGAGTGAACCTCGGCTTTGCCGTAATTCAAACACTGGCTTTGCATTTCAAGACACCGATACTCATTCGGCTCACAGCTGAGGTTTGCTGCCCCGGGCTTTGGGCGTTGGAAGCTTTCCTGCACCCATGGGAGCTGCCCTTTGTCATGGCCGCAGGTTTCGGACAGTCACATTCCTGGCATAGAGCTTTCGGCAGCGCTCTCGCGTTCACGGGTCCCAGAACAAAGGAACTTCGACCTTGAAGCAGCGATGTTGAAGCGTCGTGGGCACTCGCTACGTTGCGATCTCCAGAAGTCACCGATCCAAAAGCATCTCGTGGGTGGGCGCTTGCTTCCAAGTATTCTTCCATGAAACACGGAAGATACATAGGCTGGAGCTGTCCAGACTCAAGGAGGACGAGCGCACACTGCCGAAGTTGGGAATGGTGTTTTGGGCTGGACATCTCTCCTTGGCAAAGCATCCAAAAGGACTGGGGCTTCAATTGGAATATGGCTGCTTTAACATGGGACCAACTGGAGGACTTGGAGGTGGATGTCAATGGAACGCCGCTGGAAAGCTGGAACCGGGAGCAGTTTGGCCTTCAAGATGACTTGGTCGTGCGCACGGGAGACCGGTCAGTGTCCAAGGGCACCTGCGACCTCAGGAGCCCAGCACCATGGATGTTCAGTCTTCAAGGCAAAGCAAGTTTTTCAGGAAACAACCACTCGCTGTGGAGATATTGCCTGCTGAATCGAACTGAGGCGTCCCTTGCTACTAAAAGCTTTGCTCTGCGGGGGAGGTGAGGTGGGGGTTGGGGAGAGAGGGCAGTCACCAATCACTCGAGCAACGCATTTGAGCTAGGTATAGTACAAGGGATATTGAAGTGGAATATGGCAAAAACTCCCAAAAGCGAGTCTTCCGAACAAAGGATCCTGATTGTACATTGGCAGCTTTTGAAATGAAGGCAAGGCGAAGCCTAAACAAAGCCCCGTTTCCACAAATTGTGTTTTATAAATATTGTTTTTTTAATTGTGATAGATGAGAAATAACCCAACGACCACGGGAAGATTGTGATGATGGAAAAACTACAGGAACACTACCGGAGGCTACGGGAAGACTACCGGAAGACTATGGGAAGACTACGGAAAGACTGCGGGATGAGACTACAAGATTACATAACCAAAAACCCTCAAGAACAAAAACGAGTCCTTGAAACGAAGGTCCGAGATATTCCAGTTGGTGACACGAGGGTTGCTTTGGCGACGGCTCCTATGTGTTAGGATTGGTGCTGAGAGGACAGCCAGGACTTCGTTTATGGTTCTTCTTTGGAACCGAACTTCGCCTTAGCCAACCTAGACAAATGGCATAGCCATGTTGCCTGCTCCCTTGGACCCTGCGGTTGGGTGGCACCCCCCACATCGGAGTACGTATTTGAGGTGAAGCCATGAGCACATTTCGCATAGGGCAGATAGACGCCATAGTAATGTATTCAATGGGCGGACTTGATTATGCGGGCATCTTACCTGAGCTATCTGAGATAAGGGATACGCGTTGTTGATAAGGGACACACTGCACACTCTTTGTAAACTGGAAACCGCAGTAGGGACCGCTACAGAGCCTGATAATTCCTGTCCAGCACTCTAAAGCCATGCCCTACCCTCTGAACGCAGCACGTCCTGTGCTAGAAAAAAACACCGACAAGTAAATATGAGCGCTGCGCGTTCACCGTTACAGACCGTTACTACCAGGATGAAACGTGGTCAATTGCGGTCAGCCATGCTGATGCTTCCATAGCGAGCCGAGTGTCACATAAGATTTGCAGTCGCTTTGAAATGCCGCAGCCATTGCCAGCACAAAAGTGATTAAATGCCGCCCCGGGCATACAAGCAAGACGCATTTTGGAGAACAGATGGGCGGGCTCACCTGAGGTAGCTGAAAATGGATAGTCCCAACGGACCAAGATGCGTCTAGGCTTAGGAAATCTCAATACCCTGACACTCGTGGGGCATCAATCAAAGACATCCGTCGCCCACGTCCCAAGCTGTGAGACAGACATGCAGGAAGAGCACAGTCAGGACTTAGACACATGCCGATGGGCACTTATTGGCTCAAGCCATCAAATTGTTGGAAGATATGTTTTCCCCCAACTATCATGAGCAAGGTCCTTGTCACACTGGGCCTGAGGTGTTTTCATTGACGGAGCCCAGTGCTTTGGATTCAAACCAGCCGTACTTGGATGGCCATGGCTTAGCGTCATGGTTGGGGCCTCATAGTTCACCGCTGAACTTTTGCTGACATTTTGGCTCTTGGCGCAACTGCGCCGGGAAGAGCCAACTCGTTGTCCCGTCCTTGATCCCTTTGCGATTCGCATAGGGGTGAGGTGCGGGTCATACGACCGCACAGTTCGCTAGAGCGGCTTGAATATTGATGCTTTGCACCAGTGCAGCAATACTTTGAGCCACCGGGGTGAACAAAAAAGTTTGGGGTCGCTTCCGAATAAGGATTCTGATGATGGCAAGGTGGGGAAGCTATTTGGAATTACCAGAGCTCGGACATATTGGTTGGCTTGGTTTAGAAGTGCGCCCACCGTACTGAAGCTTCTTTGCTTTGGCCTTGGCCACATCACATTCACCAAAGGCCCCACTCGATTTTTTGCCTTCCTCCCCATGCTGCCTGCCTGGGATGAATGGGGTGCCTGTCAGCAGCAAACTGCCTGTTCCGCCCTTGAGTTTATTTGTTGGGGCATTTGTAAGATCCACTTGCAAGGAAGCCAGCACACCTAAGGCGCACGACATGATCGGGCCTACCAGTTGCAAGGTTTTCGCATCGTTTCCATGGTCTGGCTACCCGCATGCTCTCATGCAAGTGCCACTCTGGTGGAGAGATTAAGGCGATGGGAGGCCATTGTGGCAAGGCCACCCCGTAGCTAGCCATTCACCTGGAAAATATTGGGAAGCTGAGATGTTGCAACCTGTTTAATATTGGTATGCCTTCACAGTGGCATGTGTGAATAGATTTCCAGCTGGATTAGATATGTCGAGCCATTTGCAGTCATGCGTTTGCAATGTAGCCTTTTGATTTGCATAACTAGATACCATACAAACCACTAAACCTTTATCAGATATGGTGCTGGGGAAGTTGCTCAGTTGCGCTTTACAGGCGGAGTTGGACAATGAGGACTGCTCCGGTTGCCAACTTCCGTGGGAAAGGAGGGCGAGCCGTGAGTTTTCGCGGTATACCTGTGTACCTGCAGCACGGAAGGTTGCAAGTGCCAATTGGCCACCACGGAAGGTTGCAATTGTCTCTGTCTCTGTGTCTGTGTCTGTGTCTGTGTATGTGTCTGTGTGCGCTTGTCCCGACACATGTAAACATGTTTACATATTGATATATATATATATATATATGGTACAGCGTTGCCAGCCCCCCCCCCCCTCCCCCCCCAATGGTCATGGGTCAGACAAGTACCCCCCCCCCCCTGTGGTTGTGGTCCTGTGGTTGGGTTGTAGTGGTTTAGGGTTGGTTTAGAATTGGTTTAGGGTATATTTAGGGTGTATTTAGGGTTAGTTGAGGGTTGGTTCAGTGTCAGGGTTGATTAGGTTGATTTATGTTGATTTAGGGTTGGTTTAGGGTTGGTTTAGGGTTGGTTTAGGTTTAGAGGTGTACGGTTTAGGGTTTATTGTTGATTGGTTTAGGGTGTATTTAGGGTTGGTTTAGGGTTGGTTTAGGTTTGGGTTTATTGTTTAGGGATTGGTTTAGGGTGTATTTGGGGTTAGTTTAGGGTTGGTTTAGGGTTGGTTTATGGTTGGTTGCGGGTTGGCTTGTTCTGGGGGTGGGGGTGCCGGGGTGTCGGGGTGCGAGTTCAGGGGGTCGGGGTGGGGGTGGGACCGTAGGTGCCAGGATCCGGGGGGCTCGGGGTCTCGGGGGGGGGGGGGGTCCTGGGGGACCATACCATATGGGGGGGGGGGGGGTAGCAACACGGAACACGGGACCATATATACATATGTATGTATACATATACATTATGTGGAGCTAGTTGGTCTATGTTCAATCTTGGACACGAATGCTTCCACATTTGGATGCAGTCCTTCTGCGATTTGTTAGAACCTCTGTCGAGTTTCATCCAGCGCAGGACAGCTCCGAGCCGATGGTCCCCAGCCGGATCCTCTCCGCTGGGCTCCTGAGTTGCCAAGTCTGAGATCGACATGACTTGGGCGTGGCGCCCTTTCTGCGGGGCAACTTAAAGGAATTAACCCTTGGGGTTCCCTGCAAGACATTCCCATTCGCATTGGTTTGCGCTTGGCATGGACATGCCTGTGGCTCTTGCAGTCAAGTAGTCTAGTCTGCGGACTCCCATGTTTGGAAGGGGAACATGTCAAGGTTCGCTGATGGATGAGAATCAAGCAAATGTTGCTCGGTTGGGGGCCAAAAGCTGAGGCAGAGTGGGTGGCGCTTTCCATGCTGATTGGATGCAAGTTAGGTCGCAAGTTGTGGCAACAAACATGTGCCATGCTGAAGCTCCTGTTGACTTAGTCTCACGGGAGGGTTGTGGAATGGCCAGCTGTTGGTTGTCCGGTATCATAGACAGCCAGAGTCGTGTTTGCTTGCCGAGAACCACAACAAACATCTTTCTGGTGTTGACGCGCTTAATGCTAGATGCACCTCCATCATGGACTGTGAGTGCACTCCAAGTGTCTCCAAGAGACAGCTGACGGAAAACTGCTTAGTGAAGTTCCATGGGGACATTTACATCTGACTCCAACACTGACAGTTTTTTGGGTCAAG